AACTAACTTACTACCTTATGGTCTTTAAAATATCAGTGGTCCACCTTAGAGTTTACCCGTTTGTCCGAGGGTTATTCTGGGCAAAAATTGAATTTATGGCATCGCTTGGTGTCTGCAGAGATTAATGTGGGGCACACCGCGTGAAAAGCGAGGAAAGGTGTAAGGTTTAGCGGGTTAGGAGGCTGGAAAACGATCAAGAGCCGCCATCATCGCAGTAATCAACAGTTTAACGGCAACGCCTGTTGGCCTAGTTTCAGCGGCGCCACTTTGTAATCGTTAAGCTGGTCCTGCAGCCAACTACAACTGCCCCCATGTAGCAAAAGGGGTCGAAACGCGAACAGGGGATGATTTGAGGCTGCGAAGGGGTGTGATTATGTGGCCGGGACTCCGGTTCTGACCAACATCAGCGTCATAAAATCATTTGTTTATCGCTGCGGCCGTTTTCGGGCCCATTAGCAGTTCAAATCCAGTGCAATAAATCCTCGAGTTGCTGAAAACAGGGCTAATTCTTTAGCATGCATGGGTGTTTGGCGCCAGATGGCAAATGACGCGACGATCGGCATGCAACATAAAAGTTTATTTTATGATTTAAGCATCGCAAAGCCAAAGCTCACAGCCAGAAAACCCACATGCCCAAAGTTAATCACACATAAAATGTATTACTTTATAGTCCTCGAAAAGTCCTTGAGCTCAACCCCAATAAAGTTTCAAATTTGCGTACACACAAGCGTAACCCAAAATAAATTTCGTTTTGTGGAATTTACATTAACAAATGGCGAACCAATCAAGTTCAACCGAAACACATTAGTTGCGGCTAACCAGAGAATTCCAAGTCATTTAAGAAGTTTTGCCTGCATTAAATTTCTAGACCACCCAAAGCCACAGCTTGTTCCTATTTATGGGATAAAATGTATAATTACTTAATTTTGTGTTTATATAATCACTAGTTCACAACTATGTGACCATCGGCTTGCGAGGCATTAAACAACATTTTTCAGAAATGTTTTCCGTCCTTTTAATAAATTAAAAAATAATTTAATGTTATTAAAAGTTGTTTGGACTTAAATAAAATTATGAAATTTATATTACCTTATGATTACTCTTTTTTGGGTATTTATCAATCGATAGGCGCATGGTAAATTTCTGTTTTTTAAATTTTAAATTTTAAATTTTTGTTTTCTTTTGGGTGTAAAAAATAGTAAAATTCAGGGAACGTAACTGTTATAAGTTTTATTTTAAAAATCACACTTTAACAGTTATTCTCTGATTTGTAAAGTAAAACTCAAAGAATAACTGTTATTTTTTGAGTTTTATAATAAAAGTTGACAAATAACAGTTATTCGTCTTGATCAAAATAAAACTCAAACTTGATTTATGGCGATTTTGTGGGTAAACAAAATTTTAAAAAAATATAGGTATAAAATATGCGCGGTTGCCTTTTTTAACAAATTTTTAGTAAGTTATAACAAGCACGGGTATTATGTTTTTTTTAATTATTTCATTTTTCCAAAAATGTCAAGGGAATAACTGTTATTCATAAAAATCAAAAAATAACAGTTATTTTTTGAGTTTTATTATAAAAATCAAAAAATAAAAATCATTACGGATTTGTAAACTAAAATGGCTAATAAAAATTGTGGTGTATTTAAAAAATTTTTAGGACCCTTCTAAGTGCGTGATTTTTTTGTATGAAAAATTTACAATAACAGTTATTTTCGTTCCCTGGTAAAATTGCGTTCGAATATTAGAGAACTTAATATTTTGACCCGCATGCCTCGCATTTCTCCCCGTGTGACAGCTGATGGCTGAAGGTTTACGCATATGTCCATCAACTGTAACAAAAGCGCTTAACATGGATGTCGGGTGCGATCAAGCGGAAGTAGTTCGCCACTCAAAAAAATATCCACTCTCATACCCACACGAGAGAGTTGGTAACTTTTCGCGGGCTGGAGAAACTTTTGATATCCCGGCGGAATCTGAGGCATTTTAATCAACTGCTGTAGTAACGCAGCAGGACGCATTGGAATGCGGCTAATAAATATTTATAAATGCTGCCCCCGCACAAATTGTTTGACGTGGTTCGTCTGTTTCCATAGATACGAAAGTTTAGGATTCTGCGGCTGGCCAGGCACGAGTGACAGCGTCCCTTTGTTTGCCCATCCAATCCCTCCGGGCCAGTTGAGTCCTTAAGCCACAGTCCTCCTGCTCGGTTGTTATTCCTTGTCACTATACGCTATCGTCCCAGATCGTCCTTGAGTGCAGGCAACAGGCAAATGTGCTTTTGATGACATTTTAAACGCCTCCGAGCCCAGGAATGCATTCAGAAACTGGCTCCGGCTTCGGCTCTAAGCCTGATCTCATCCCTTAAGAAACTAATCAATAGTATGCCCCACAGCACATATGCCTGCCAATCCGTGTTTTTTTTCCGGGCTATGAATCCACTTTACCTTCACCACAGAGAAGCCAGCTGAACAAATTCGCAATAATCGGAGTGGGGGAAAAAAACATAAATTGATTTCCAGGGGAGCGCAAAAAAAGAAAAGGGAACACCAATTTGCTGCTTTCGATTTCGATTTCTTATTTTTCCTCCCCTTTTTTTTTTGAGGAGTGTTGGTTGTGCTGGCAAAGCTTGAAGGACCAAACACGTTCCCAGAAAAAGTTTCTGAGGTCCTCTGCCCTTTGAGTTGTTGATGACATGTTTCGGTAGTCCGTGGTCCGCAGTCAGGGTAGATAAAAACAAAAAATGTCAACAACAGGAACGCTTTTATTTGTGGAAAACAGAAAAATTAATTCAAGTTCGGCTCCTTCGGCTTGCTTTAAAATGTAAAGCGAAAACTTTTGGCCTGGGCCTGCAATTCTTTTATGTTTTCCACAGCTGTTGGCAGTTGTCTTCGGCGTGGGCCTAGTAGATTTAATTAAATTTTTGTATAGAAAAACATTTTCAAGGCTGCCAGTGTGTGCGCAAGTTTGTCGTTGTGGGACATGTTGAAAATAGAGTTCTCAGGGGGCGAAATTGGTGACAGCACCAACGGCTTTTAATATTGATATTTAAATTTTCTAATTTACTCTACCCCACAGGGAAAATTCACATTTCCCCCCTGCGTTACCATCCAATTATGTCATTATCCGCACGCTTTCGGCTTATCTGAAGCATTATCCAGTGCAAACAGTGTGTCCCACATGACGTATACGTAATATGTACTCTCTCTGTTTTTTGCCCAAACTAGATGCAAATTAAAATGCATTTTGATGCTGCTGCTGCTGGTGAAAACAACAGAATTCTCTGTGCTGCTGGATTTTTCATTAAAAATTATCCCGAGCACAATGTAAATAGTTTTGAATTTGCATGGCTGACTGCCGACGAAAGTTCAGGTGGTTTTAGCATTCCGAAATTCGAGGCAGCCTGAGGCGAACCTCGCATGCATTAGATATTCTTTAAGTTCCAGCCCAAGGTTAATGTAATGAACCTCGCTTGACTACTGAGTAGATGATGAAAGTGCGTTTTCTTCCGACATAAAAACATAGCATAAATCCATGCAGATATTCTTCCATTTACTCAAAAGGCTCTGCTGCTCAGCCATATCCTCCATAAGCACTGAAAGTGAAAACGAGCCAGGCCATTACTCCGCCAGGTGATTGGACCATAAACAACCCGTCTGTCCATGGAATAGCTGCAGCATGAGAATGAAGTTCGAGGTGTTGATGGGTGATGGGTGGGGAAGCAGTTTGTTAGTTTTCAGTGTGAATTCATTAGCCCCGGAATAATTAACAGCCGAAGCAGTCTGCACACCTAAATGGATCGTTATTATCTGCAAGCGGGGAACTCACTTGGTTGGGCATTTTCTAACGAAATTTTCCCACACATGAGCAGCAGCAATCTGTGCAGTTGATTGCAATAAATTGCATTTGCCGGAAAACCAAATTACATTAAGTTGCAATTACGGGGCAAGAGAATTCCCAGAACTGTGAAGGCACAGGTGCAAATGGGTCCCGCCTTTGATAGCTTTAAGAACTGTAAAAATGCTGGCAAATTGAATTGTCTGCACTTAGCATCCACATTACATCACATGTTCGAAGAGCCAAAGGCTCGAAGGACCAAGGGCTGTGTAACCTGTGTACTTTACCACTCCATCGCTCTCTGTGTTTGTCTGTTGCTTTATGGGGCATACGCTTTGGGTTCCTATTTGGATTGCATCCAGAGGATGCTTGTATCGATGCCGGTTTATTTGGCCTGGCATCCGGATGCCGAGCGCGCTCATACGTTTATCTGATTTGTGGGGCGAGCACGTGAGCAGATTATGATTACATGCAGCGTGCCACTGCACTTTCAGATACTTTGAGCCCGGTCGGCGCATCCTCTGCCAAAGCCAATCAGAGGCAGCAAACAAAAATGAATGAGATTCAAAGTTGCCGGCGAAACTGGAAACTGAATTTCGAAATACTGAATGGCTTTAGTTCGGCTACCTTGGGTTGAAATTATGAGAATTTCAGTTTTATTCGTATGGCTGCCTTCAAAAGAATGGTATAGGTCACTTATTTGTGTGGGTTGTAGCTATAAGCAAATGCAATTGTGGGTTGCAAAAATAGGTTGATAAGGTCAAAGTGCTTTTTTTTTTAGCCAATAGCACAGACGTAACTCAATTATAAAGCAGTTTTAAAAATATTCAATCAAATTAAAGTGAACTATATTTGTTTGCATCCACAGCTTCGCACTTCTTCGCGACCGGAAGCGGAAGTCGCCGGGCCGGAAGCCTGGTTGGTTGTTGGTCGCTCGCCCTTCTCTCCTAATGGTGATTACGAAAGGGCGAAAGTGTTGCTAAAACACTAAGCTCGCAGCGGAAATCGAGGAGTGTTGGGCCTTATAATGCCCCGACTCTGGCTTAAGCACACAAATCCGGCATAATGCAGCGCTAAAGGCCAAAGGAACAAATAAATCCGCGACACACATATCACTGGGCTAACGACGACGAGACGGAGGCTGAAGAACCCGAGGAGAAGGACGGCAGGATACTTCACTTGAGGACAAACGATTTCTAAACAGAACACGCCGACAAAGCGGCCTGCGGCATGGCGGACCTTGAGCGCATACGGCTCGTCCTTCTGGGCGGCGCCGGCGTGGGCAAGAGCTCCATTGTGAAGCGCTTCCTGTTCAAAAGCTACACGGACAAATATCGCGCCACCGTCGAGGATCTCTACAATCGCGAGTACGACCTGGGCGGCGTAACACTAAAGGTGAGTCATGCCGCCGAATCCCCGGTTACAATGCAATAAGTCTGAGAGCCCACGCAGCTAAGCCCCGCGTGGGCTTGTTCTTTTTTTTCGTCCTTGTTTGCTGACATTTCGAGCGGAATTTTGCTGTAATTCGTTTACAAGTGTTTAAATGTCAAAATGCACTCGGAGAACGCAGCTACAAATGGGACATTCGTACTCATTTAGAGCGGAAAATAGGCAAAGTAAATACGATTAAAATTGTTAACAATAGGCATAAAAACAAAACACAACACATTTATTTTAGAAGGATGTCTAAAAGGGTAGCAGTTAAATATTTATATTTGTATTCCATTATTTTAAGATCAATTCCATTTTAATTGATTTTTAAGCTAAGAGGATATTCCAATATTTCAATAGCTCAAGTTGGCCCAATAATTTAAAGAGCAAGCTTTATAATTTCCAAAACTTGGTTTCCAACATCTAAATTCAACAATATATTCCCCGAGCGAAATAAATAACTGTAAACAACTCTCAGCTTATGAAGCCTTCCATTATGGGAGATTTATGATTTTAATAGGGGGCCTCTCGACATTTAGTTCCCCCGAATAATTTAAACTGCCAGCAGTTAGGAGGACTTCATTAACCCAATCACTGTTGTGGTCATCAACTCTCTGGGAATGCTGAATGCCAATTAATTAGGTAGAAATCTTCTAATTGGATGTCTGGAGAATCTCCACAGCATATTACACTCCATATGCAAAGTATTAGCCAAGACACGTGTGTTCTTGGTCTCCTGGCAATTGAGTAGCTCCCCTAAAGCCTATTTGGATCACAAGTGGTTGGTGGTTTTCGGGCGGTCGGTGCTTTTAGCCCAGCTTTGCCGGGGGCACAACTCAAGATGATTACAATATGTGTACAATGTACATATATTCACTCAAAATGAAAACACAAATTGAGCGAATGAATCCTTACTGATTTAAATGTACTTACGGCAATCTTGGGTAAATAGTTTTGGGCGGGGTAAACCCACCCACTGACTCAGAAGCCGACTGACAGGCTTGTGGGCGGAGGCTCATTAATCAAATTTGCACACGCTCAAAACAGCGGAAGCAACATGGAAAATGTGGGCCACTTCCCAGCCCGCTGGGCCACCAGTGCTGCCGTCGAAAGAATTCGGATCCTAATATGCTACTTAACAGGGGCAATTATTGGATAATAAGTAGTCTTGCCGGGGGAAATATACCGGAAACTGATAACGGCTGTGTATTATTTTAATCGGGTTCTAATCGCTCTCATGGAAAGCATAACGACCCATAAAGATCTGGCGGGAAATCAGGCATCTCAGCTGCCTTTCGACGCATCCTTACCACCGTGATGGCCTCCTGAAAGAGGAAACTTCTGATGGAACATCCTTCACTGCTTCGCTGATTATGTGCTGTTCAAACTTGTCTTGCATGTTCGGCGAACAAAAGTTGGGCTGAAAGTTGATTAATAGGTGGAATAACAGGAAGGAGCCGAGTTGCCTTCGCCTTGGCGTCATTATCAGCATTCCAGCTGGCCAAATTGATACCGAGAGAGGCGGTTGACACTCTTGGTGGCGACGCCATTGCGTCCATGTCCTGGTTCGATTTAATTAATTTCGTTTTAGCGACCGCTGTGGTGCGCATCCATTACTTAAGCCCGCCCTGATTGAATTCCACTCGGTGGCTGTCACCTGGACTTAAAGTGAGTTATTCCCGGCGCCGGTCAGGTGCATCCAAATCACATTAACCTGCACAATTTGCGAGGCTTTCTAGCCAACTTTTCCCTTTTTTGAAAGCCAAACCCAAGGAGTGCCCGCTTCCCGCTGTGACTGATGGTCGGAGCAGCATGTGGCCTTTAAATGGGAACATTACATTGCACTAAACGATTTCTGCTCTTTAAAAGCAATTTTGTGTACGTACTTGAATGTGCCGCACAGCGGGATGAATCGGATGCAGGATGCCTTAAACATAGATGGTCGAACAAAGGCGGCTGAGGCGAACAATGGCTGAGCGACGAGAAATGGTGTCAAAAATATAAACTGTGTCATTCTTTAGAGTGTTTTTAATAAAGTTTACTCATTTCGGCCGAACAATGCGTTACAAATTTGCCTCACAATGGCCCTGGTTGTCGATAGAGGGGGCACCCCGGGGGAGATGATACTTTACTGTACTGACAGGGCTAAACGGTTGGCTTTGCCTCTGGCTCTGTGGCTCTGTGGCTCTTTGGCTGCCTGGCCTTAACATGCTATTGACATTCCGGATCGCGTTCAATGCGTATCGCGTACGCCACGCGGCGATATATACAACGTAACAGATGCTGACACGGGGATTAGTTGGCATCAAGTGCGCATTGAACGGGCCGCGAGCCAGGAGTCACGACCCAGGAGCCACCACCCAGAAAACCAGACAACCAGACACCATCGTCGCCCCAGGCCGTTGTCCTTGTACTCTACACGGACAAATCGTTTAAAAAGCACTCCACTTAAAGCCCCATGTACTAAGAGGTCACACCAAAAAAATATTTTATATTTCCCCAAAACTGACATTCGATAAAAATCGCAATCGCATTGGCAGCCGAAACGATTTTAAGGAGAAATTATGTTACTTTTTGTATCACAAAAAATTCCCTTTAAGCCAAGTTCCGAGAAGCTACAAAACGATGTGTGTTGTATCTTATAACAAACTTGAGAATTTGCGGGGTTTTATATATTTGATTTTTCCACGAAAAACAAGTTCCGAAAAAATCGTTGTCTGTCGACATATTAAAATAAAGGAAAAATACTTTATAAATGATAAAATAAAAATAAAATAAAAAAAAACAAAAAAAAATTTTTCGCTGATTTTTTAGTTTAAGGATAAAGAGGCCAATTTCCAATTGATTTAAAAGCTGTGAGAATCAAGGGATAGGTGGTGTGACTTAAGTTAAATGCTACAGTGTGTAAACATGAATATTATTGTAATTTTTCATGATCAGAATAACGTGTGCCACTTGTAATTAACAAGAGGCCTAATTTAAAATACGATTTACGCACACATTAAATCGGTTTTAAAATCAAAATGAATTCTACCTATTATTATTGATTAAAATTAATTTTATAATTCATTTTTGTAAATAAATTAATGTTATTATAGCCTATCAAAAAGTTTATTATAGTGCGATTCTTTATTTGGAAATTAAATGTCAATGGTCTGTCATTGCGGTGGTCCAATTAAAATCCATGTCCGCTTGACACTTTTAAAGGCGGAAAGTTGCCTGTCGGGCAGCTTATTGTCAGGATAGGGTCATTGAAATTTAATTATACGTAATTTGTTGTGCTCTATCCCTTGCAGGTGGACATCCTGGACACGTCGGGCGACATGCAATTCCCCGCCATGCGGCGCCTGTCCATCGCAACGGCGCACGCGTTTATGCTCGTTTATGCCGCAACATCGGCGCCCAGCTTCCAGTGTGTGAAACAGTGCTTCGAGGAGATCCGCGAACAGCGCGGCGACTTTCAGGTGAGTTACGAATGAGTCCAGGTGCCACTCCTGCATTTTGTATGCAATCAGCGAGGGCTGAGAGGCGAAAGGGTCGAGAGCTCAACTCCGTGCACTTCGCCACAATCCGAAAAGCAATTATAAATATTCCCCTTTGAGCCGTAGCCGGAGAAGTCAAGCCAAGCGGCAGAGGTTTAGGCTTTTTGCAGGGCTCTTGCTCTAACGTTGCACAGTGGGTCCGGCTTTTATAAATTTGAAAGGAAAAGAGTCCTAAGACTTCTCATTGTGGATTAATAAAAGAAGAACAACAGCCAAATGCTAGAGATTTTAGTTTGACAAAATGATAGTAAATAGTTACAATAAATATGAGGAATTTTTAAATAATTTAATAAGAATATTAACATGGGGGTCTGAAAGAAAAAATTCCTTAGAATTAACTTAAAAAGTTTTTAATAAAAAATAAAGTTTTTTAATAAAAAACATAGGGCTTCGTAGCTTTTAATGCGATTTGGGGTAAAATTTCTTGAATTCAGCTGTAGATTATATTCCTTTAATGTATGGAAATGGTTGTTCTTTTAAGTATGTAGAATTAGGGCATTTTAAAGGTTTAACTTTCATTCCCGTATACATTGCGCTTTGAAGCATTTAAGGAATACAACGATTTTTTGTAAGGAATGCGTTTTAGGGTCTGGAGCCTCGCTTCAAAGATTATCATACTTTCTCTCTTCTTTGGACAAACTTCTATTTTAATCTAGGTAGCGCAGATTCCAACCAAAAAATGTTTCTCATTTTTACCCTTTTTTACTTTTATCCTAAAAAATCAATAAATTAACAAGAATAGAATGGGAGAGTGTATACAAAGACGATATGAGCATTCTTTCAGGATACTTTCAGAACATTGGGCAACATCCAAATCTAACGTATTAAAGAGTAATGCTTTACTGGCCACTTATTAATAGGTTTCACAATATCATGTTTGACTTGAAATAGTTATAAACGAAAATTGTAAAAGATATACGTTTTTCGAATTTAGAAGCTCGGTGGGAAGTCACTTTCTGCTATGGTCAGCCCACTATGGGATAGTTAGGGCTATTGTTTCGCGTGGCGCTCTCACGGTTTCCGCTTTCCGGCGCCATTGTGAGGGCGAGTATCAATTAGAGCACAATTCGCTTTGTCCGCCCTCCTATTTTCGGGGGGAGGCGATGCAAGAGGATGCTTGTTCTGCTCGAAGTGCCACACCACTGCTAATTCCCCTTTCGCTCCGCAGGACATTCCCATTGTGATCGCCGGGAACAAGGCCGACCTGGCCACCACCCACAGAGAGGTCAAGCTGGAGGAGGTGACCGATTGGGTGTTCTGCGAGCTGCCCCGCTTACGGTAAGTCCCACATTAATTTCACAGAATACGGCTGGCATAAAAATGCGCAACAGCTGCTGCATGCGACAGCAATTAGGGGACAACTGCCAAAAGTTGTGCAACAAAGCCCGGGACACAAAGCCGCAAAACCGCCAAACAGCTGCAATTTTCATAAGTAACGCAACAAAGTGGAATTAAAAAAGAGCCATAAATTCGCGGACCACCCCAGAAAAGCTGCAATGGCAAACGACAAGCGGCAAAAAGGCAAACGGCAGAAGGCAAAAGGCAAGCGGCGCAATTAAATTGCTAGAAATGAAATTAAGCGACGGAGAGCGTGACGGCGGGCCATGAAGGGCGTTGGTCCTCCGAAATCAGTTGCATTGTCCTCGGAAAGGGTTGTGGTGCTCATTAAATGCCATTTGTTAGCCGGCGAAAGTGTCGGAGTCAGAAAAACACACTGAAAAGAAAGAAATTCTGACAATGTAATTAAAATGTGCCAACGGAGATTTTAGAAGTTCATTAAAATATTTTTTCTGAAAAGCTTCTTTTAATTAAAAAATCGATTTCCTAATTCCATGTTTATTACCAATAAAATAAAAAATTCCAAATGATTTAAAGTATTTTTCCAAGTGCTGAAATTGGGAAAACGCACCATTTTCACGACGGACATTTCCCCATAATAGCTCCTAATTGGCCATCTTGTGCGGCAAACGGTGTAGCTGTCATCCAGGACATCAATTTGCGATTGTCGACGGGGACCAACTGTTCGTATGAGTGATATGTTAGAGCACCACGGCGAGTGTTCTTTGAATACCAAACAGTCGGGGCAATTCAAATGCACATACACTCATAGAAATTTTCCGGTAAAATCGCCCTAAAAACAAGGAAAATCGCCCTAAAACGGGGGTCAATGGCGACTAGGCAACAAAATTAGGGCAAATTGCCCTAAAAATACGGGTGAATTTGTCATACATTTAGGGCGATTTTTCGTAGATCTAGGGCGATTTTTCTATTTTCAAAGGTAACTGCCCTAAAAATAAGATATGAGACCCTTAAACTAAAGGCAGTTTCCTTTAAATCCAGGGCGATTTTTCTGGACTTATAGGCGAATTGCCCTGGAAATCGGAAAAAATACCTTTAAACTAAAGGCAGTTTTTTATAAATCTAGGGTGTTTTTCTGGATTTTAGGGCGAATTGCCCTAGAAATAAGGAAAAATATCCTAAAACTAAAGGCAGATTTTCATAAATCTAGGGCATTTTCTCTGGATTTATAGGCGAATTGCCCTAAAACATGCAAAATGCTCCCCAAAATTTCACGGCCATTTTTCATAAATAAAAATACGATTTCATTATATTTTTTTTGTTTTTTTTTTATATTTTTGTTTGTTGTTATTTACACAATTTCTTATTATATACATTTACATACTTTTCTACTTATTCTTATTGCTAAAAGAATTACATCGATCTTAATTTTTTGGCTTAATGTATTTTTTGGTCTTTAGGTTGTGTGCTTCTGGCGGAGGGAATTTTAGGTATTTTAAGGTTTATTACAATAAGTACTGATTATCAAATTTTACTTCTAATTGAATGCATAGAAATAATACTTTTTTTTTTGGAATGAACAGATTGTTTCTTTAAAATAGTTACAGCTTTAAGGTTTTATAATCCTTCAAGAGTTCGGATAAAGCTTTACCCTTCTTATCAGACTCTAACTGAATTTCATAAAAGATTTTTTGGATAAATGTCGTGGTTAAAAACAAAAAATATTTTGAAGCACACATCAATACTTTTCAATAAGGTTCGCATTCTATAAAAAAACCTCTAATAGGTAAACTGGAAATTCGCTAAGGTCAAAAAGGGCTTGTTCCCACGTTGCAGCTGAATGGTTGCAGTTTCGGCTTTCCGGATTAGCAATTTTCCCTCAATGCCTTTAGATGTGTTTGCAGTTCCCCAACAGTAGCCTTCCAAACCAAGAAACGGCTTCGCGGGTCCGCAATGGTGTGCTTCGCGTTCTTGCTCCCGCCGTCCTTTTTTGTCATTGCTGTCGCACCAACACTGAATGGATCGCAAGCCAAATTAAAGTTGATTGTATCTCTATTAAATAAAAACAGTCTATTTATTGAATGAGAAAAGAAAAAGAGAAAAAGCACATACCTTCAGCGTGGCTTTTCAAAGATTTGAGCAGTTTTATTCCTTACTTTCGCTTTTAAAAATTGCGAAAAGTGGTTTGCGGAAGCTGGATCTCAAAGACGTTCTCAATCTAAAACAAGAAAAAAAATTGTTAGAAATTAATATAAAAATGCACTACTAACAGTCAGAATTTTCATTTAGCCTGCGATTGCGTTTGCTGCTACTTCTGGAAAAAAAGAAGCAACAAAAGCCAATTTCGGTTACTGACGAAATGACGCAATAGAAATTTGGGGGTTATTTTGGCATATGCACTTGTGAATGCGGTTTGTCCGGTGCATAAATACAGATTTCTGGTAGATATATATATGTACACAAGTGTGTATTCTGTTGCATCATCTTTTTACCTCAAGCATTATTTACATATACACATACATATATGTATACTCTTATTAATGTTCTTACTTTGTTCTGCCCCACTTCCAAAACTCTACATCTGGACCGCTGCTTCCAGACAAATCTTTTTAAGTTTCAGCTGCATTTTCCTCTGTTACAGATATGTAAATTCAATTAGTTGTTAATATCCAAATTGCACAATTATATATGTATGTACTCACCAGAAAACTGAGAAAGAATCGCCTCCCAAGTCCTTTAATAGCGTTTACATTTTTCACTTTTTCACAAACAAAAGGTTTCATACAAACACGTCTTTTACTGCCAAGCGCCCGAAAAATTATGACAAAGTCTAGACAACGCAACTCTTTCTACCCCCCTTGCCACTGCAACGGACGAAAAGTAGCGAAGAAGAAGAAAAAGGGTGGACTTTTCTAAAGTCAAATGCGCTCAGCATCAAAATTCATAGAAAAAGGTCCGCCCTAATATACACACACATTCACTTGTTTTGACCTGCCAACCACACACACATACACACATATTACATGTGTATCCATTAATTGCGTCTTAGAATTTCGTTTGACTCTTCCTTGTTTTTAGGGCAATTTCAGAACATATTTTTGGCTATTTTGTTCTGCGTTTTAGGGCGATTTCGCCCTAAAAAGAAGGAATTACTTTTGGAGTCGACTCATAAAAATTCGCCCTAAAAAACAGGGCAAATTTGGCGTTTTGGAAAAACTAACCCTAAAAAATATTTTCCATGGCGATTTTTCGTATATTTAGGGCTAGCCACCCGTATAATAAGAAAATTTTTCGTAGTTTTAGGGCGACCTTGGTTTTAGGGCGACTTTTCTAGTATTTAGGTAAAAATTTCTATGAGTGTATGCATGAGGTCCTTCAACCTGAAGTTCGATTCGAAATTCGAACTGTTCGAATGATGCTTCTGGGAATTGTGGGGCTATGAGATGTTTGATTAGCAGTGCCAGTAGCTGATTTATGTTTGCTGCCCTGGCACAATGGGCAAATGCTCAGGAGCATGTCTGATTTCAGCAGCAACATTGAATTACATTGAATGAAAAAAGTAAATGTACATATTTGCTTTAGAAAAAGATATTAAATATAAAGAAACCATGGGTGATATGTGAATTTTGTAAATATTTATATTCATTTTTAATGTAATTCGCTCAAATGGTAGAAATGTTTAATTTTATTTTATGGCAGGAAAATTATAAATTCCGTATATCGGGAAAACTCATTTATATAAAAATAAATTAAAGTAAAATAAGTATTAAGTTTATTATGCCTTCAAATACACTTTAAAATATGTAAATTAAATTCTGTATGTCGTGAAAACTCTTTTATACACAAATAAATTAAAGTAAAATAAATATTAATTTTTTTTTTTTTTTTTTTTTTTTTTTTTTTTATCTTTTTTTTTTTTTTATTCTTTTTAAATTAATAAATAAAAAAAAAGTTTATTATGCCTTTAAATACACTTTAAAAAGTATTTGTCAATACTCATAAATTAAAGGCTAGCACTCAATTCCACTCAATTTGCAAATACTCAACATTTATTCAGAAGTTCAACTTTGTCAGTTAAAGTAGATTACAGACCGAATCGACGAGTGGTTAATGAGTGTAAATGACCTGATTCAGTACCCTTGCTTGGCCGCATTAACAATTTTAATGTATTTTTTGCGTGACAACTGGCCCTGAAAGGGTGGCCGCATCCTTTCGATTCGCTGGAATTAAAAGGGACTCGCTGGCCAGCACTTCTTTTCAGGCAGTTTTCGCGCCGTAATTGCTTCCTTAATAAACTGCCGGGCAGGACTCGTAAAAATCACTTACAATCACATACGTGCCTGCCACTGGAGAGAGAGGTCCTGAGTCCCGAGTCCATAATTCCATATCCTGCGGTATGGGCGGGGGCAAGTGTGGGGCGTGGCACGCTCGTGTTGCTGTTTAAGCAAGCGTGCGTAAACTTATTTAAAAGCGACCGACACACAGACCGAAGAATGCCACACAGGAGGCGCACTCAACCGCAAAATGGAGATGACAGAGGCCGCAGGACGAAGGATGAAGGACACGAGGACGCAGGACATTTGGCGTGAGCATTACGTACAAATCTCTGTTGGATTAAACATTCACGCAGATTGATGGTGCGGTTTTGTCCCCGAGAGCGGGAAACACCTTGAACCATTCGCCACAATCTCGCACCTCCACTCAGCGCCCACACTAGACTCCACGGGGAAAGTTTGTGGAGCGTTTCATGGCATCGCATCATGGCAATGCAATTTGTTGCTCTGTCTGTCTGTCGGTCGGTCTGTCTGTCTGTCTGCGGTTAAACTCTTTAAGAGCATGCCACTCAAGTGCATTTATCTGCCTGAATAAGTACACCCCTTACATACTGTGCTCATTGTGGATAGGATACATGTGGAACAGTCCCTACATGTGTAAGTGCTTCACTTTACCGAAGGTGGAACAATGTATTTATTCAGCATTTAATTGCAAAGTCATGCGCATTTTTGGCCGGCCCTTTTTCCTGCGTTTATGCGGAAAATAAACTCCAATACGATATAAATTTTACTTTGATTTACTGTTATGGTAGCTTACGGCATTAACAATGCAGCCATCTATTTATTTATTTTGCCAAGTCAGCCGTTGCCATTTTAATTAAATGAAGCTTCGTGGAATATTAAAATATTCCCCGTCACTCAGTAAACAGTTTCATTTTTATTTATCCATTTCAGGCAGCTTAAATTGCCAATATTTAATTTTACCCAAGTCAATTTAAATTGAGAGAATTGTTATCCATTTATAAAATATCAATTGACTCTAAGCAGATTTAAGCATATTTAGAATTTAATAATACGATTAAAGAATTATGATTCCATTTACCTGAAAATACAATTATTTTCTATACAGTATAAATAGGGAAGTAGTATAAATATATGTTTAGAACTTAACCTTAATTTCAATTGTTTTTTACTGAGTGAAAAGCCAGAACAATGAAGAATACTCATACAAAAAATAAAGATTAAAATTCTTTTGACAAACAACATGGCCAAACAAAAAAAACCAATGACTTTATGATGGAAAGCCATACTGAAATATTTTGTTTTGAGCTAAGCCGTCTGATGATGGCCAAATTAAAGCTTAAAATCCCTCTGACAGGCGAGTACTAGAAATTGCCAGTGTGTTGAACACCACCTGTCCTCGTCCGCGTCCTCTTCCTCATCAACGTCCTTGTCTCGAGCCTGGCCGCAGTTTTGTGGGGCCACCACGGATCGGTTTTGTGGCCGCAACCTGCAGTGAATCCCCGGCATTGAGTAGAGCCGTACATGACATGCTTAATTTAGCCATTAGCAACATTTGTTTCGGCTGCCCCTGGATGATTGCCGATGGCCCACTTTTGCCGTGGCGAGCGCACAAAAACTCTGTTATGCATTGAACATGCCGCATTGTTGCGCTGCTTTTGTTTAGCCTTTTTTGGCATTTTTGGTTTCGGGTTTTTTGTGTCGGCATCGCTTTGTTTTGGGCCAAACAAAATGTGCTGATGTATGCATTACGTATACGCCGCTTATGCAGCCAACCCTGAAAAGTATGCAACCCTTTTTAAAGCCAGTTTTTTCTGCTCGCAGGGCAAAAGTGCTGGAGTGCTCGGCGAAGGAGGACAGCAATGTGACCGACCTCTTCAAGTCTTTGCTCTCCCTGTCCCGCTTCCTGCCCGCTAGCAGTAGTGGGAGCGGGGGCAGCGCGGGCGGCGGCGAGGCGGCGCCCAGTGGTTTCAAGCGTCGTTCGTCGGCCTACGTCAGCGCATCGTCCAGTCGCAGTAAGTAAATACTATTAACCATATAGCGTTTAAGGAAAAACAAGTGAATATGGGAGGTCTCAGAAATTACAGATTTTTTAGATGTCGAAATAGGTGTGTAAAAGGACGCAACAATATATTTTAAAGTCAAAAGTGCGATGAATTCGTTCAGAATCCTTTATTCACTGCATACTTTTAATTTGACATTTAAAAGTGATTTTAAAACCTTAGTGATTTTTGAGCCACATTAATAAATCAAATACTTTTAATCTTCGAACATTTTAAAGACCTGTAATATCATCATTTAGAGTTAAGGCTTTGGTATCAAAAATTTTACTTTTTTTATTTGTTCAAGCTTTGTATATTTTTTCAACAATATGCATTGTAATGCAACTATTTTTGTACATGGTATACAAAACGATTTACAATGGATCGGACTGAAATGTTTTTAAGTTATATATTTGTTTTTTAAATCGGTCTCTTTTGTTCCTAAAAGGAAAATAGACTTTCTGGATTTTGATATATATGTTTTAAGTAAAAGAGTAATTAAAAAGTTATGTTTTCCCGACAAACAAATTTTATAAATGTGTTTGTCCTTGTCCTTAAATATACATGAAGAGTTGTAGATATTAGAAATCATTTTTGTTCCATTAGAATCCAGCTAAATCGCTTGAGTTGTATTTCCTTGTGCAAAAAGGCCAAACATATTTGCAAATCCATTTGGCCAGGACAGTCCGTGTCATATACATAGGGGTCGGGTTTGGAGGGAAACCTCACTGTAAATCCGCCTCTGGATATGTTGCCATGGCCAGGCAAAATTAAATGATACGCTACCGAGAGCTGATTCCAACTCTTTGTTGATTGTTTTTTGCCTGCGAGGTTGCCGTTGCAGTTTCAAATATCAATTAAACATTCATATATTCGCCGGCTTTGATTGAAAGTCAGAAGGGTAGCCATCGGAACATCGTTCGGGGTTCAATTACAGCTTTATTCGGGGGGCTTTAAGTGGCATCGTAAGCAGCTTAATTAGCGCGAAATTAAAATGCGAGTCTGCCGGCCGTAAATGCAATAATTAAGCAGCTTGCAGGTCGCAGATGTAATTAAGCCCTGGTCTCAACCGTTGACTAGTACGACAGCTGGCCGGGCTTAATCAATAATTGATGCACATTTATTAATATATTCATTTTAAACAAAGGCGAAAAGCCGCACGCACATGGGGCCAATTAATGGAAATTCTTTAAATGCGCCCAGGGCTAGGATAACTTTTGGCAATTTGGCTAATTGAATGCAATTAGCATTCCTGCTGTCGTCCCTGTCTTCGGCCTAATTAATTGTGCGAATTCGGCAGTCAAGCGAAGACTGTGGGACCGTGAGACCCTTTCTTCCGACCCGATTGACAAAGACAAACTCTTTTTCATTATTCAGCAGACGACAAAACGGAGCCCAATAAAAGAAACACAGAAAAGCAAAGCAAAGTAGAGCTAAACAAAAAAGCCGTCGAGACGGGGTTAAAAGCACAATAAGGCCAAGTTCGCTTTTGGCATCCTTTCCCTCGATGTTCAAACGAATTCCATTTTATCAAAATGTTTTCGAGCCTTTCGAGCACGTGTATTAATTAAAAAGCTTGACCTCCTAATTACCCTGTAATGGAATGCTTTATTATCTCATTAAAAACTTAGTTCGCAGCATATGAAAATAGAACGGGGCTCAAGAAGTTGAAATTTCGCTCGAGTTCGTCAAAGTATAAATATCTAGTTAATTAATGTTGCCCCAAAATGTTTCTTCTTTCCCTTGCACGGCGGCGAAATAATTAAATTAATTTCCGCCGGAGAGAAAAAAGTTGCGGAATCATTACAGATACCCAGAAACCAGCTACCAGTTCCTCCAGCAGGCAGATGCCAATAATTTAATTGTTCGCCCCCGAAGACTTTTCATAAAATTTCAGTGGCCGCCGCAAAAGTCATTCAAATTAAGTGAAAAGTTGCCCGGCGGCGAAATTCCGAGTATATGCAAGTACATAATTTCCAGCAAATTTAAATTCAAATGGCTGGAAGCCGCCCATTAACGTCGCCCCACAAAACATATTAAATGCTGGTCGAAAAATGTTGTCAAATACTTGGTCGAGGGTCCACGTCCTCACAACACACAAAACACACAAGGCACAACTGTCGATGACAGGCGAACAATGGCGGTCTGAATGGCGAAGGTCGAGTGGCAGACGGACTCCCGGCGGTTCGGAGGTTCAAAATTTCAGAGGTTGAGGGGTTCAGAGCTCCAGAGGTGACAGCGCTGACAACGACGCCTTGAATGTGCCACCGAAAATAGGTCTAAGCACTTAATCACTTGCGGCTCAAGGGGCCGCAGTCAAGTAATTGCCTTAAAAAGTACAGCGTGCGACGTATGCAAAGCGAATCACAGAAATTTCATTTACGACGCTGCCATTTTGTGGCTGAGATTGTGCCACACGTGTTTACGGGGCATGCTAGATGGGCTGATGGGTTTATGGGTGGCACGAAAAATGGACGACCTCCCATGTCTGTCTGTAAGTTGAGACAAAGCCAAAGCTGCAGGCCACATACATGTGCTGCGGCCGGGAAAGCGGCTTTTCCTCCTGGTCCCCACATAGCAGCTCGCCCTCGCAGGTCGTTCGCGTGGTTTTCGGGTGGTTCTCGCCGCAAGCCGTTTTATTTCAGACCGACAAACCAGAGCCTAACTCAATTGTGGGTGTTCCCTAGCACACACATTACATGCTAAACATATTTAAGCCACGTTCATGCGTCTATTCCCCTGATGTTACATGTTGAACAATCGCTTTTGTTAGCAATGAAAAGATATTTCTTTGACTGTAAAATATTTCTGAAAATCTTACCAAAGAAACTACTATATTTTAAAATTGCTATATTATTAAGAGTTCAAGTTTAATAAATATCTGGTTAGTTTTATTGCTCTTAAGAGACCTTTTGCTAAATTAAATTTATCTAGCATGTTAAGCAAGTTGAAATAACGACAGATCTGCTTTATGCGAATAAGTTTTTTAATCACTTGAGAATAAAATTCCGAAAATGTTCTATAATTTACTGGATGATTAATTTTAGTGCAGTTTCGGATTATTTTACAATCTATTGCTTTTTGCCGACGATTGCAGAAATTATTTTAGTATATTCTCATTTTACAAGCGAAATAGTTGTAGTAAAATATTCACATTAAATTTTGGTTTTTCGTAAACATTTTAACTTGGGGGTATCGGATGCAAACCAATTGATGTGGAAAACATTTTTGCATTCGCTCTGGCAACATAATAAACGCCCATTGTATGACACCAACATTTTTTATTTTTCTTCTTTGGTATCAACGCTTTGCCACGGTCGAGTCTCTCTGACGAAACCCGAAACACAGAGAGTATGAGAAGTGAAACAAATTTAATTTAAATTTCTGTTACACGACGCACACATCAATTCCCGCCGCATATGCACAATTTATACGCCCAAAAACGAACCCCGGCCACCGGCACATCCGTTCACCCCCGGCACTTGTTTGTTTTTGTGCCGTGATGGCAGTATTTTTGCGTGCGAGGGTCCTCGTTACGGAGTCCCATTCTCATTCACATACTCAGCCGCAGATCGGCGGGGGAAAAGTGCTGCCCGGAATGGAAACGAAGCCGTTTTCCAGGCCGTTTTTCGCGCGCTCTCTGTCAGCGGCAGCAATTGTACATTTTCCCCTTCCGACTAACGGCGTTTTTTTGACAACAATGGCGTTGGCAGCCATTTTGTTTGCACTCGACATCCGCCGCATCCGGCGACACCCAAAAGTATGCAATGCAACACTCTGCCACAAAGTGCTGGCCCACTCAATAATTCTGTTTGCACGGATCATTTAGCCAAACGCCAGGCGTATTTCTTGCCACTAAGCTGCAAAGTTTAATAACTAGATTGACTTGGCTTTGGCCCTCCCTTTGTGTTTGCCTTGTGGTTCTTATGCCTCAAATTCACACCCCGTTTTCCGGGGCCAAGTTATCAATTGTTTTCCCATTGTAAGCCCTTTCTTTGTTTGCGGCTTTATTGCTCGGGCTCCGGACGGAACAAAAAGGTTTGTTTAGTGCCAAGAAAAACATCTTGCTGCGAACACCTTTTGTGCCAGTTTAACACTCGCTTTGGCAGTCTAAGCTGGCTGATTGAGGATTACCGGAAAGTTAATGACTCCATTGACACTGATTTGCCATTGCTTACTTAATTGGTTCGACTTTGAAGACGACTTTTGACTGCTATTTAATTCGCAGTGACAGAAGCATTTGAGTACTCGCTTTTCGTTGGGATATTACAAAGAAACATATATATGCATAAATCACTATGGACGGCCGTCCATGTAGTGACGAAGCGCACCAGGAGAGTGTGCGAAGGCGACTACTATATATACACGAAGAAATGAAAATCTACTGTGATGGTCCGATCATAATGAATGATACACCTATCGAAAGGTATTGCAAAAACTAACAGGATTGCATACCAAGACATTAAGAAAATGAATTGGCTTGGGAGAGAGAGCGGTGAAAGTGAAAAAGTGAAAATTTCGAAATTTGGAGATGTTGGGGCCGGTGGGGATAAACGCCCCCTCGCAATGTTTTAGTTGTATTCCTTTCGAAAATACCCGTCGAATGAGGGGTCATATGTCAAAATCCGACGCTCCGTTCAAAAGTTATAGCCAAAATAAGATTTTCTTCGTCTTCCCAAAATGAAAATTTAATTCTGTTTGTCAGTTTGTGAGTTTGTCAGTTTGTCAGTTTGTCAGTTTGTCCAAAACATGTTTTTTAAGTTTTGAAAATTTGATATGACGTTCATCACATCGATATAAAAAACTTTTGTTCTACCACTTTTGGAAAAACTCGCTAGTTTAGCGGGAAAACAGCTATAAATAGCTAAAATTTGGAAAGCCGTAACTTCTATACTACTAATGCTACAGACTTGTGCTGCATCTCGTTTGAAAGGTATTTTTAAATGCTATAAACGCTCTCTATATGCAATTTGTTTAAATGTAATAGTTAAAAAGATATGAACAAAAGAAATTTTTTTTAAACTTTCTTTTTAGCTTTTTTTAAATTTTCTCAAAAACGGCTCTAACGATTTTCCTTACAACTTTAAACTGTATAGCCCTTGAGATTCCTAAAATTTTGGTATATAACACATTACTGTAAAAAGTCACGTTTAAAAGTTATTTTTATTCGAAAATGGCCACTTTTGCCAGCTCGAACAATTAACGCTCCCTGAGTATTGAATTTTGTGGGAGGGTATCCGAACTGTATTTTAGGGTCATGGAATCAGTAAATTTGCACTTAAGAGTTCCATATGGGAATCTATTGTTTTACGACTTTTGGAAAAAGCCGCTACTTTAGCGGAAAAAAAGCTAAAAATAGCTCAATTTCGTTAGTTTGTAAGTTCTACACTACTAAAGGTACAGATATGTGCTATAACTCGTTTAAAAGGTATTTTGATATACTTCATCGCCTTTTTAACTTAATTCGTTTAATACAATGGCTTACCAATTTAAATTTAAATGTATATATTAACTCCTATGAGAGCAAATGTAAACAAACAAAAACTTCTGATATCAAATAAAAACACCTCTTAACGAGGTAAAAAACTAGTGACGATCGCGCCTTCATTTGTGACGAAAAATTATTACACTTGTCATTAAATAGACTTTCTAATATTTTCTCATTCGGCACGCTGCAATAGAAAATGCCTGTAAGGGGCTGTCCATATATTACGTAATCACGTTTTTGGTGATTTTTGACCCCCTCCCCCCCCCTGGTGATCAAACGTAATCATTCAATAAACAACCCCCCCAATGATTACGTAATCCCCAGAATAACATTTTTTTGTTTTAATCTGTGGATTCAAACGGAGATGCAACCCAATCTTTAATATTGTTTATAAATGAAGTTTGGTATGACACATTCGGTTCGTCTACGCTGATATTATCCCCAACATACTCTTCGTCAAGCCATTCCAGGTCTTCGCGTCCTTCGTGTGATTGAACCACTAAACATTCTTTTTTTCGCCGCCCAGCCACTACAAAAATTTTTTCTCTGCTTTCCTATTTAAGTTTGTAGCAGGGACCGTAACTGTTAGGGGCTGTCCATATATTACGTAATCACGTTTTTGGTGATTTTTGACCCCCTCCCCCCCCTGGTGATCAAACGTAATCTTTCAATAAACAAGATTACGTAATCCCAAGAATACAATTTTTTTGCTTTAATCTGTGGATTCAAACGGAGATGCTACTAATTTTATATATTGTTTATAAATGGAGTTTGGTATGACACATTCGGTTCGTCTACGCTGAAATTATCTCCAACATACTCTTCGTCAAGCCATTCCAGGTCTTCGCGTCCTTCGTGTGATTGAACCACTAAACATTTTCTTTTTCGCCGCCCAGCCACTAAAAAAATTTTTTCTCTGCTTTCCTATCTAAGTTTGTAGATATAATTAAAGGAAAAAAGTTTTTAAATAAATTCTTTAAATAAAAAAATGAATATAAAATGATTACGTAATCATTGTGCAAGACCCCCCTCCCCATGTAATCAAACATAATCATTTCAATAAACCCCTCCCCCCTAGGTGATTACGTAATATATGGACAGCCCCTAAAGAGAAAAAGGCTGGAATAGTTTGCTAGGGCAGGCCGAATGAGAAAATATTAGAAAGTCTATTTAATGACAAGTGTAATAATTTTTCGTCACAAATGTTGATATCAGAACTTTTGTATGCTGAAGGCGCGATCGTCACTAGTTTTTTACCTCGTTAAGATGTTTTTTTTATTTGATTATACACTACTAGAAAAGTAGAATACTTACTCTTGAAATAATTTTACTGATTAGAAGTTTACAGTTTTATGTTTATTTTAACTGAATATTAATTTTAATTGGACTTTGACCACAGTGGTTCTGTTGATGATCTTCCTTTGCCATCACTAGTTACATTTTTGAGGTCCGTTTGCCATATTGGCGGAAGATGCGTGCCATATCCTCTGAGCTGGATCCAAAAGCGAAATGGCAGTGGATGGCTGGCGGTTGAGCAGTCTTATCTTGAGATGAACTTTGACTGTGCAACCGGCTGTAAAAAAACCCATTTCGAGCGGTAACTTTGCGATATGCAAGTCCCTCCCCTCCTCTTTGTGTGTGTGCCGTTCATAAGTTAATTACGTCAGCGCTTGGCGGCTGCAGGAAGTTGGGATGTCGAAATGTCCGGATGTCCCAGTTGCTCCGACAACGGGCAAGGACGAGCGACCTCAGTGGGGAAATTGGATTTTCTCTGCACTTGCAGCTCCGAAATCGCGCAGTCCCTTTGTAACTTTGCCGGCATACGGCAGTCATTAAATGCACTCGTGGATATTAATTAGCCATGCGTCGCCATCTATTTGTTCCAGACAAAAATCGGATGAATAGCCCGGCTCTGGGCGGCGCCGGCGGCAGTGGCGACAAGAAGGGCTCCGGACTGGTGGACGCCGTCGATGTGGCCACCACATCGGCAGAGGCCAAACTAAAGCCGCGTTCCAGGTGAGTGCGACACGCGGCCCACACACGGACATCCACATCCGGTTCCTGTTTGGGCCTCCCACACAACTCATGACCTCTTCCCTTTCAGATCGCTCATACGCCGCGCATCACGCAAGACCAAGCAGCAAATCAACAACGCATCCGACGACTGCAATGTGCAGTAAACTATTATTTTGGCCGGCAGCACTGCGTTTAATTACAATTACGCCATTATGTTTGGCCACAATATGCATTAATAATGGACGCCAGTTAATTAGCCTGCATAAACAAGTGGCGCAGTATTTATGTTCGGTGCAATGAGCTGATTATTCTGATAATATAAAACTCACACCAAAAAAAACACTTGCTCAAAGGCAAACAAAGCCAGTGAGATTCAATTGCAACTCTATTGTAATTTAATTTATTTAACATGTGTATCGAATCCTAGGTTAGAAACTAGAGCTTCAAAATTATGCCCTGATGACACTGGTCTAAGATTAGAAATATATGTTTTTAAGCTCTGTAACTCATAATTAAGTAATTATTTCTTTAAACATAGATTTTATTATAGCCAAAGATTGTAGATTTAAAGACAATTTAATACCTTTTAATTCCAGTGTCATCGGGGCATAAAAGATTAGGGATTATTTCGACATTCAACTGAAACATCAATCTATTTGAGTTCCGGTCATTACGGTTTAAAGGGACCAGGTTTATTTAAATTTAAAATTAACTTTTATACGACAAACAATTTCGCTTTCAATTTTCATAAATTTTAGTATAGACTCTGGGTACTCAATTTGAATTTAATTGAGAGAGAAGCTGAGAGACAGGGCGAGATTTTGAAGAATCGTAATACCGTTCAAAGAGTTCCTTTTGATGAGAAATTAATGACTCTGCTGTTGTTGTTCGTTGACGTTGTCTGGCTGAAAAGGGGGCGCTTTTTGCGAAAGGACTAAGTTTAATACGTTTTCCAGTGATGGATTGTCATAATATTATGATAGGTTGCATAGCTTTAAGGTAAATTCTAGAATGCTAATTTATAAAGCTCTATCTGCACCCCTAGCCGACACCATAGTTAATATTGGAACGTTCCGCCTAGAGTACATATAAATAGTAATAACAATCTTGATGGATGGGTAAGAGTGTTTGTATTTGCTTTGAGCCGGAGTAAGACGCAAAATCACAGAGTTACAGCGACAGGGTGAATTCGGGACTCAAGGCGAGTTTTGTAAGAATAAAGCAATTTCGCGGCATTCTCCTTTGGCTCCAGCCACGTAAAATAACAAAAAACTTTAGCAGAGAGCACAAAACAATTTACTATGCAAAAAACGTAATTGTAAAATAAATTTGACGAGACCGCTGGAAGAGAAGAAGTCTCGAAATGCTTATCAAGGATAATACAGGGTGAACTTCTTATGCTAAATTGCCAAATAAAATCAAATCAAATTTCCAACAATGCACATCAAGTTCGCAGGCGAGTTTTATGGTATAAAATAATCGATAAATATGTTTTTAATACAAGTTATTTTCCCTTTGGCAAAAGCAAAAGCACAAGCACAAGTTACACTTGCAACTGCGGAAGTGCGTGTGTGTGATAAGAGTCCTTTGTGTTTGTTTACCGGAATGTGCTTAGCAAATAAGATTTATTTAAAAGACTACTTTTAGGCAGGATTATCGGGAGGATCTGTAAATGGATGAAATACGGCATATGCAAAGTGAATTGTGATTAAAAAAAAAAAAAAATACATCTAAACAAACTGAAAAAGAATGCAAACAATGCAGGCAGTAATTTCAGTAATGAAATCAAAACTACTGTTGTGAAATTGAAATGGGGAAGGGGGAAAAATAGTATTGTGGCTTTCGTCCAGAGAGGATTGGCATATATAAATGTATTTACTACATAGTTTGTGTATACAGTTTGGATGTTCGTTTTATAAGTAATACGTTTATACATGCATTGTTACTAGGTGTAGTTAATTGACAACAAATCTGAAGAGCCCAGCCCCGTACTCGAACTCTAATCAACTAATCGTAACCTATATCATCAAAACAATGGGAACACAAGGATGGAGGACGAGATGCACGTTATATCACCGTATATCAGCTGACTTATACAACTTTATCCAACCCGATTTTAAATACATATTCGTGTACGTAATTCGATTGTTCTAACAAATGAATGGAAACCTACTCTATAGTCTATAATCTATACAGAATCGAAAGATTGTAACCTTAAAATAGTCGAAGGAAAATCCAAATTAACTCTCTAAGTGTGCGTATGTGTGTCATGTACTTGTAACTAATTGAATTTCAATTCAAATTGAATTATTGACAATTGTATTAGCCAGTTTAAATAAACCACAATGCGTCCCAGGCATCGGTGTTGAAATGTTTGATTCCGTTGCATAATGAATTAAGTTTCATTTCATTTTACATTCTGTTTTCCTTCAGAGGGTTGGTTTTCATCGGAGCCCCATGGTCACGGGGTATGGTAAATGGCATACTGAGCCATTTCCACTAAATCAATTAAAACTAGTGCCGCCCGCCCAGAAGCAGATGCAGCAGCTCCACCCCAGTAAACCGACCGCAGCATCCATTAAAAGTAACTAATGGAATTTCATTCAAATTATAAATTGCATTTACCCATAAATTCTGCAATTGCGTAAATGCCGATTGCCGGCTTAAAGCAGCCGGGGTGTCAATTCCACGGGTGGTGATTTGAAATTTGCATATGCATTTGTGGCGGTTGAGTGGGGGGTTTTCCGAGCATAGAACCAAGCCGCTTTAGCATCCACTGCAAACAATAAACAGCTTTGCTGGGGCGGTCTAATGAGTTTGCATTATGCGCAATTCCGAATGCAATTTACTGTGCCATTGATTTTGCATTAAATTGGCTTAGTCGGCTGTTGTTGCATTTTATTTTGGGAAAGTGCATTGCATCCCCAATTTTATGCCGGCACGTTGCTAGACTTATGGTCTTAGGGAGATTTTAGGTAAATTTAAATTTCAAATTCCACCGGAAACAATGCCTGCTGGCGCCCTCTATCGGTTAGAGTGATTTCGTTATCTGGCGCCGCCTGGCGGAAATCAGCTTAGTGAACACCTGTTTTACCATCAGCTGGATTTTTTAGGGCATTTTCCACATGCTGCGGCGACAATTTGGAATTGCAATGAAATTTATTGGTACGGTGACTTAAATTAATTAAAATACTTCGAACAAGACAAGAATTAGCCATGTTCCACAGACATCGGGGCCAACCTGACAGATCCCATGTTCCGGGGCTGCTACGGCGGCTCTCAAAAGCATCAGGCCGACCTGGACATTGTTTTGAAACGTGCGTGGCAACAGGGTCTGCAGAAGATCATCATTACCGCCGGCTGCTTGAAGGATGTGGACGAGGCGCTGGAACTGGCCTCCAAGGATGGTGAGTAGGTGTGGATTGGATCCTTAATAAAAAAGGACTAAGCACTCCTAACGAAATACCATCCCTCTATCATACCAAAACCCACGAAGATAGAGCAATTCCATACGTTAAAGATCATTTCCAATACGAACCTTACCTTAAGGCCTCTTTACAGTTCAGTTGGAATGTGACATGGAATCGAATTTTTCATACAAATTTCAAAATCTGAGATGGAATAGATTCCATTTTCCATTTTATTTTTCACTTCAAATGAAATTTTGTCAGGATTCTTAGAAAAGCCTCATATGTTTAACATAGATTAAAACAATTTTGTATACAAGCCCTTGTAAAATTTGACATTTGTTCTACAGAAACAGAAATTTGATCTGTTAATATCATTTACTACCCAAAAGTCAAATTTGGAAGTATTCACTTCAAAACACTGATCTTATTTTTTAAAGATTTCTTAAAAATTGAACAAATTAAAACCAACAATATTAAGATTTTGGGATCCTAAAATACGATTTGAAAAAGAAGAAAAACGATGTTGGTTTTTCATACAATTATCCATAAGATAGATTTATCTCACCATCTAAATCCCTCCACAGATCGTCTCTACACCACCGTGGGCACACATCCCACGCGCTGCGAGGAATTCGTACCGGATCCGGAGGGCTACTACGACCAGCTGCGATCCAAGATTAAGGCAAATCGTGCCAAGGTGCTGGCCATCGGAGAATGTGGTCTGGACTACGACCGCCTGCAGTTCTGCGGCCAGGAGACACAGCGCCTATACTTCGAGAAGCAGCTAGATTTGGCAGCCGAGTTCCGATTGCCCCTCTTCCTGCACATGCGAAATGCGGCCGAGGATTTCATGGCCATCCTGGAGAGAAATCAGGAAAAGATCAGGCAGTGCGGCGGTGGAGTGGTGCACAGTTTCACGGGCACTCTCGAGGAGGCGCAGCGCATCCTGGCCTTTGGAGGACTCTACATAGGCGTGAACGGCTGCTCCTTGAAGACCGAGGAAAACGCGGAAGTGGTGCGCCAGCTGCCCAACGAGAGGATAATGCTGGAAACCGATTGTCCATGGTGTGGCATTCGTCCCTCGCACGCAGGACACAAGCATGTGACCACAAAGTTCGCCACCGTCAAGAAGAAGGAGAAGTGGACAGCCGATTCTCTGATAGACGGACGCTGTGAGCCCTGTCAGATTAGGTTAGCCATCTAAAAACTTTTTACCAAATTTCGACTAACGTATACTTTCCGTTTCAGCCAAGTTTTGGAGGCCATAGCCGGAATCAAACAGGAACCCAAGGAAAAACTGGCGGAGATTTACTACCAAAACACCTTACACTTGTTCTTCAGCAAAGCGAAGAATGATGAATAAAACCATTTGCATTTACATTCAATGCGTTTACATTTATTTTATTATTGTTTCTCGTGTCTAAATGCAAATGAATTCAAAAATACGCATTACAACTTTGATTTGTTAGGTTACATCGGTTTGGTTTGTTCGCTCTGCATTTGACACACAGAACCACGTTAAGATTAACATTTAGATTTGTAAATAATTGCTGCATATGGCTAAGTTAATTAACTCTTGTGATTACGCACTGCTATGTGGTGTATATAGAATTGATCGCCCAAAAAAATATATGTATTTGTTTCGACTCAAATTTGTATATTCTCTCCGGAGTCTTATCTAAACTCTATTAGAGTGTCATAGCTTAGTTATTGCCACATTTTTGGTTACGAGTTTGCCAATATTCATCGATCATTGGTGAAGCCTTAAAAAGCCTATATACAAAATATTTTGTAAATATTTAAAAAGTCTATGAACTATAAGTAGTACGCTTTTTGGATTTTAAAAGGTTACGTTTTAGGGATAGGAAATACGGTTATATTATGGGCATGCTATTATCAGTAAAACAACCAAGATCCGGGCTAAAAAAACTTGCATTTTGTTCTGTGTTTTGTGAACTGATATGAATACAAATGATATTGGTTGTATTTAACATTGAGAAACTGGCCTCTATTCTACCCGGTCGGTGATGCATTTAAAATGACAATAAAAGATTCAGTCCAATGGAAACGTTATGATATGAACATGTTCATATAGCACTCTAAGTTGATGCGAAAGATTGTGGGGAAGAATGATCTCTAGGTTTCCCCTTTCCGCTTGGCAGTAGTTAGTTTTTCTTTTCAAAAGCAGATCCAATTGAGTAATTTCCTTACAGAAAAGTTATTAGGTTACGTGGGATTTGGAGTATTATTTTAACGCGTTAACTCTATTTACTCAAGACAATGTAGATATTGGTTATATTTGAAAATTCGCTCAGACCTTGCCCAATTGACTTGCAGTTGCAAATGTAAAAAAATAATAATACAGTAAATAGGTATAAAAATAAAAACGTACTCAAAACATTTACGATAAATTCCATTTATTAGGCGTCATATTAGTTTCGAGTGTTTGTTAAAATCATATTCATATGTATGTACATAAGCAAGGGAAATTATAAATATGGTAAATACATAAACATAAAATATCCTTTAACAGAGGCTCACTAAAGATAAATTCGAGTTTTGGATATAAATAAACATACGAGTGCTAACTGTCTTCCATTTTGTATTCACTTAACAAAGAAAGCCTTTCGGACATATTTTTGGGATATAGGAAATCAAGAAAGGTATTGATTAGTTCGCGTTAAGCTTAATGCGCTTGTTAAATATCGTATATCGAATATGTTGTATCGTAATCATATGTATTTAAGTTTTATGTTGTGTTTCGAGTTTTCAGTTTCAAACCAAACTCTGCAGAGCCCTGCAATCGAGCAGGCGTCGGGCCTCATGATTATCCATAGATAAATTATTATTATTATTATTTTTATGGTAATAAATATGTTAATCCGCTTAAGCCTATAGGTTAATTCAATGTATTTTGGGAGCGCTGCGATCGTTGATCTTCTGGTTACGCTTCAAAGTGGCTCCACGTTTGATTTGATCCATTAGGGACTCGTGACATATACGCGGGTCCGGCTGAAAGAGTTCACAAAAATGGGATTAGACTTTGGATTGCTTAAAAACCTTAGGTTTATCGTTAGATCGAAGAGCTGTTAATTGTTCAAACGAGGCGCTGAGTGGATTAGCTGCCAGCAGCTGGCTTAGTAGGCATCAAACGAGAACGAGAACGACTAGGAACAAACTAAATACCTTGGCACTTAGCACTGATCTTCGCAAGTGGCATTGGTGGTTGTGCTGGTGTTGGGATAGGTGGGTGGTCTACGGTATTGCGCGCTGGGGCGCGATAGTTTTTGCGGATTTTGATACATCTAATTGCCATGGTTATTATAGAGAGAGTGTTGGCTAAGTGTTGCTGTCGAGGAGGTGCTCTACTTACCAGGGCCTTGCTGTTAATGAGATTTCGCACGGCAAATGCTCGTCCAGACATCCCCTGCTTCGCCAGCTTCGCGTTGAGATTCTCGAGGAATTCGGCCTTGGTCTTGGCCCGAATGCTGCCAGTCTTTTCGATATTTGTGCTTGTGGCATAGTCTATGGATATGCGTTGTCGTTACCGGGAAACCGGGTGCATAAAAGAAAATGGTAAGCAAACATGATCGATCAATGAGTGTGCTGGATGTTGGCCTTGCGTTAGAAGTGGTTAAGATGTCAATGTCAATTCAAATGGAAATGCAAAATAAAAGTCAACAAGAGTTCGAGGCTCGGTGATGATTGATGATTGGAAAATATTGAAATGAAAGTTGGCGGCGGAAACTGCAGTCCCATGTTGATCCGAGAGTTTCCAGGCGCACTTGACACAATCTCAATCTCAGGTTAATAGGCAACACTTTCCAAACGAAAACTCAAGCAAATCATAAGTTCAAAAGAAAAGGAAAACAACATAAGCAGCATGCTAACGACAAACCAAAATTTAATTTCAACAATTGAGAGAAATCAATAATCAGCAAACATAACAAAAATATACAAAACAGCGCTCATTCCTTGCAATAAAATCATACGAAATGAAGTCAAATCAACTCAAATCGAATCGAAATCAATTCAAATCCAGCTCGCGCGCTTACTTGAGTGATGTGCCTGGGAATGGGCATGGGCATTGTGATTATAGTAGGCAGCGCCGCCATTGCTGTTGCCCCCAGCAACATCGCGATAATAGTGTTGCTGCTGCTGCTGGTGAGCATGTTGCTGCTGCTGGTGATGGTGGCCGCTACGCGAGGTTGTGGCATAAATGCTGGCCAAGGACCCTGATCCAGATCCAGTCACCGGCGAGCCGCAAGTGGGCGAGGCTGAGGGCGAGTGAAATTTGACGGCCGTTGTCTGTATGAATGGATTCGTCGAGACGAATATCTTTTGCTGCACACTCGAGTGACGCGAAGGTATGGGTGGCTGGCGTTGCTGTTGTTGCTGCTGCAGCTGATGTTGCTGCTGTTCGGCCAAGAGTTGCTGCTGTGCCGCGCGAAGTTTCTGCTGGGGCAGCGGCAACTGCGGACGCTGACCCAAGTGACCATTGCCGTTGCCAATGCCCAAACCTGCCGGCTGTTGATATTGCTGCTGATGTTGCTGCTGCTGTTGCTGCAATCGTTGCTGCTGCTGCATCATGTTCTTGGGCAGCGTGGCATTCTGGCCAGTGGGCGGGCGGGCCATCTTCTTGGGCATCGTGGCCGAGGCACCGGCGGCGTAAATGGGCGGCGGTGGCGGATCCTCCAGCGGAGGCGGACAGGTGTAGTGCTGCTGCTGCGGCTGCTGATATTGCTGATGGGAATGGGCATGTCTCATGTTCGGCGATTGAGCAGCTGCTGGATTTTTGGTAAACGAACTTGAGTAGGTGGCAAAGTCAGCCGGCGGCTGAGGTGGCTGATAATGCGAGTTGGCCGAGCCGGTGGCCGCTGCCGTTGGCGGTGGGGATGCAGATGCGGATGCGGATGAAGAGTTCGAGAATGAGCTGACTTTCGATAGCAACGATGATGTGGATGAAGACAGGGGAAAGTGGGGCAAGGCATTGAAAGAGGTGGTCGGTGTTAGAATGGACGGCTGATGCTGTTTAGTGCTGTTGTTGGCTGACGATGAGGTGCCGAAACTAGCGTAAATTCTATGCTGCTGCTGCTGCTGTTGCTGCTGCATTTGATTTGATGATTTACCGTCATAGTGTTGCTGCTGTGGCGGCTGCGACATGGTGGACAGGCCACTCCGCATGTAGATGGACTCTCCTCCGGGCGCCTGCTGGTTTCCATAGATCCCCTCAACCTGCTGCTGCTGTTTGCCGCTGAGTCGTGCATTGAGCTGTGCAATTAGATTCGGATTCGTCTTTGGCTGTGTCGGTGGCAGTGGGTGAGCATGTCCATTGGGACTGGGGCTGCTGGTGCGGAAGCTGGACATGCTGCTGACCAGTTTGGGCTGGGCGTAAATGCCGCCGCCACCCCCTCCTCCGCCAGCGGCTGGTGATGAAGTGCGGAACGTCTGGCGGTGAATGTGTGTCAGTGGCATGAGAAGAAACGAAACGAAGACAGGCACAAATTAAAAGTTTGGCAAAAGCACGAAAAAAGCTAGGCGCTAGTCTAATCTATGACTATGGGGCATTACAACTAGGAGATGGATGGGCAGTCTTGTTAGGCTAGTAAGGCGATCGATTCCGTTTCCCGCACGGCTGTTAGTCTTGGTTAGTAGCCCTCGGCTGGCTGGCTGGTCACTTACGGCATCGGCTGGCGGCGGAGCTTGGTAAACAGGCGGTAGATAAAGATTTTGCTGCTGCTGCTGCTGGTGGTGGTTAAAGCGTTGTTGCTGGCTGGTCATCTGCTGGGCATAGGCGTGCAGATCCAAGTAGGAGTCGTAGTAGACGGTCGGGTCATCGTTCAGGGGGGATTGGTGGTGCACAGACTATGTATGTGGGGTTTCATGTGTGTTTTTGTGAGAGTGGCAAAAGCAAACGCAAGTGGAAATAAAAAGAAATCATAAGTTATAGAAAAAGAGTTCTAAGAGTGCTGGTGGTTCCATGCCTAGACGCTTGCACACACCTGCAATAGAGGTTGCTGTTGCTGCTGCTGTTGCTGCTGCTGCTGTTGCATGCGTCTGAGCGACACAGGCGATGCCGGTTGGTGCCGCATGGCTGCCAGGGCTCTTACCGTCTCCGATACCTTCAGCGCCGAGCTGGGCATCTGGGGCACCTGGGGCATTTGGGGCATGGCGTCTAGCATGAATGCCGGCGGCGGCGGTAAGTGCTCGCTGGAGCTGCTTAGCTGGTGGTGTTCTTGTTGCTGTTGGTGCTGCAGCTGCGTTGCGTAATTAAATCATAAGTTAAAAAGAATAAAAGCATAGAGGAAACCAAAGACTGTGTGTGTCGCGACTTATCAACTAACTTAGTTTAGATAGATAACACTTAATCGATTAATATATAGAAGAGCTAAAGATTCAACTTACCCCCACCGAGGCATTGGGACTGGGGGTCACCGACGAGCTGCGTCTCACTGGCGGCGGTGGCTTGGCCTGATTGATGGACGAACGACGTGCGATGCGCGTGGAGCCACCGCCCGCTGCTCCTCCTGCGAATGGTCAATAATCTTATTCAGTATGTGGCATACAGTAAGTGGACTTTGTCATTAGATTGCTGCTGTTATTCACAGTTATATACAGTAATTGGTTTATACACTTGGCACACAAAACACAGGACACCATCTAATACCAGTAGTTTAGTTAGAGAGAGAGAGTCGCAGAGTTAGGAGCTGCTGAGATCTAGAAAGGTTATGAAAGACACTCGGCAGACTGTTCTGAAACTTGATTGTGAGCCCCCAAGCGGGTGAAAAAGCATTACGAGCTGTGATCATACTATTAGTAACAATTAACAACGAAATGGAATTTCTTTCGATTTAAGCCATGACTTTCCAATATGCAAATTTCGACATAATCTTTATATTCTGATTAGTGCTTGCGCATTTAGCAGTTAGTGGCAGAGTATCGTGCAGTTTTCTCGATTTGTCTGTGGATGATTAGACTTTGATGATTGTGACTTGATGACGGTATGAGCTTAGTACTTCAGGAAACCAACTCCAATTGCAGAAAAGTTAACACATCGAACTTAAAGCCGAAAGTAAGGTAAAGTTTGTATAAAGTTTTAATAAAGAAAACAAAAGCCAAAAAGGTAGGTTACTTCGGCAAGCCGAAGTTTATATACTCTTGCAATATGTTTAATACTTTAATTCAAAAAAATCTAATTGCAAATTTCTTGTATGATAGATATTAATCATAATGCAGAAGAAATGTTCCAAATCGGACTGGTCATTCAAAAGTAATGTGCAAGGCAAACAATGGAATTCAAGCAGTGCAAGCAGTCGCTTTGCTGCATTGAGGGTAATCGAACGTTTTCTATAGAAGTCGTAACGATTCTTTGACAATTTGCAAGAGTATTATACCGAAGAACCAAAGCAAAGTAAAAAAGCATTTGAAAATAAGCTCTCAAAACGAACATAAAAACCCGGAAAGTGGAGTCAAAAAGCCAAAAATTGAACCCAAACAAATCAAAAATCAAATCGAAACGAACCCGACAACGAGGCCGGCCGGGGCGTAATGCACGGCTTGAGATTGGCATTGGCATTGGAAATGCTATTGGCATGATGGGGATTGGCTGGGGCATTGGAGCACACATATGGATGGGCGGGTGGTCGGTCACTGGCGGGCAACATCGATGGCGGAGCATTTGATGGCGATGATGATGAAGTGGTGGCTAAGCGATGACGATGATAATGGTAGATGGCCGCGAGGTGATGACGGTGATAACAATGCCATTAATGCGGGCGTCTTGCTTTGCTTGTGATTGGATGTGGCTGTCTGATTTTGGTTTGGCATTCTATGATTTTGGTTCGGATGCGAATCGATGAATGCAGATGCAGATGCAGGGGATGCAGTAACATTGGCGGCTGGTTTATTAGTGACATTACAGTTTCTGGTTTGGGGCGACTGTGGTGAGTGTTGCGGTTCTTGTGCTGCTTGCTGCTGCTGCGGCGATTGTTGCTGCTGCTGCAACTGCTGCTTAACCTTCTGCTTTTGCCTGCGTATTTTCGCATCTAGATCGGCCTTAAAGTCGGACTTTCGGGGCACCAGCGGCCTATCGCCCACACTGGGCGCGGGGCCATTGAAAATGCTCAAGCTGGTGGGCTTTGGCGGCAGCTGGCGCCTCGTGGGATCTACTGTCTGGCTAATATCCTGCTGCTGCTGTGGGAAATGCTGGTCCTGTGCCGACTGCTCAGTGGTTGCTTTACCTCTTTGCGGACTGCCGCGTCCGAGGAGCTGTAGCTGCTGCTCACTGGTGGCGCGAAACGAGGAGAGTCGCTGCTTGGCGGGCGCCACAGTTGCTGTCGCCGGCGCCTGGCCACCGCCGTTGGAGTCCGGCGAGGAGTCCGGCGAAGCGGCCAAATTGGCCGGCAAATGCTGCAGCTCGCGCATCTCGTGCAGCTGCAGCGTCTGGGGCTGCGGATCCTTGGTGCGCAGCACCACAATCTCCGAATTCTGCTTGACGAACTCAATGTCCGGCGTGTTGGGAATCTGATGGTCGTAGATCACCACCACGGCACTGCCGCTGTCGCTGCATGTGTCCACGTAGGCATGCCGTGGCTGGCCCAGGCAGACGCTGTCCGAGGCCAGCGAAATGGCATCGTCCCGACTCGCAGCATTGGCCACAAAGTGCGCGAATGTGGGATTCTCGTAGCCGCCGGCCGTTAGGCCACCGGTCAGCGAACTCGTCTCGCTCACATAGCAGCGACTCAGCTCCGAATCGCTGGCGCCCAGCATGTCCCGATCTCGATTCCGCCGCCTGGCGTCCATCTCGTCGCCGGCCAGTTCGTCGGACGTGGTGTCCGATATGTCAGTTCCACAGCCGCTCGAATTTGTCTGATTGCTGATGGCGCAGGGCTCGATGTTGCTGGTGGGCAGGTTGTTGTTGTCGCTGCTGCTGTTGCTGTTGCTGCTGCTGGTCGTCGTTTGGTTGTTATTGCTGCTGCTGTTGCTCATCGGCTTGCCGCCCTTGCCCTCATCGATCTCGCGTTGGAACGAGTCTAGTTCGCCAATTAAATTATTTAGTGCTTGTATTGAATCTTCGAAAGACTTGTCTGTTAGATCATATTTGGTTGTTCATAGTTGGTATTGATTTTGGAGATGGTGTTGTTGGTTGTTGTTGTTGTTGTGCATTTGGTTCATTTGTGAATAATAGTTTACAGATGGCAGAGATTTTTTGGGTAAGGTGGGTGACATGAAGTCAAAACCAAAAGTAAGGAGTAATGGTTTCAAGTTGTTTTTGGTGCAGTAGTACCAAAAAATTGTAGAAAAAAGGAGGGAAAAACAAAAAAAAAAAGAAATTGGGGGTTAAAAAATATTCACGATATGTTCGTTCAATTGTAAATAAAAATGGGCGTTGGACAAGTAAAGTGGAGTGCTCTTTGGTGCTGGGTGGGTGGTGCCAGGATCACCTCACTTCATCCTATTCAGCGGGTGTGACTGATTCTACTTACCCATTTCCTGTTGCTCCGCCTCGGATCGTCGTCCTCCGGCAGCTGGAGAAGCTACTGCCGGAGCCACCTGATTGGGAGCCGGTGGCGAAACCGCTGCCGCTGCTGCCGCCTTCTCGAACATCGAGGCCTTCTGCAGAACGGAGGCTCGCGACCGCTCATCCGTCTCCTCTGCTACCGTTCCCTGATCCTGTCCAGCTGCCGCCTGCTCGGTGATCTTCAGCACCTCACTAGAAGGCGGCGTCGGTGAGCTGACCTGGTAAACGAATCCCAGCGATGATCCAGGACCACCTAGACTGCTGCCGCTGGGAGTACCTGCCGCTGTGGACGTGGGGGAGTTGGTTAGCAGGGGCGAGTAATGATTCTGTGGCGTCGAGCTGCCACTGGACGGCGAGGTGGTGTTCGTGTTGGTGCTGGTGCTGTGGTTGGGCTGGCCCACCAGCGAGCCGCAAGCGACGGTGGAGTCGATCGACGGATGCGAGTGCAGTGACGAGGCCGTCGAGGATATGGAATGGGAGCGTGTGGCGGTGGCTGAGTGATGATTCAGCGGCTGATGATGCTGCTGCTGCTGCTGGAGGAGCTGATGGGAGCCGGAGGAGTCGTTGGAATGCTGCGATCCTATGGAGTCAATGGAGCTCTGCTGTTGCAGAGGCGGTGGCGAGGGCTTCTGCTGCGGCTGCTGCTGCTGGTTGGTCAGCTTCAAGGCCGCCATGGTGGCCAACTCGGACATGTTCACATAGGTGGGCGGCGTCTGGGGCTGCTGGCTTTGCTGCTGCTGCTGCTGCTGCTGTGCATGGTGCGCTGCGGACAGCTCTGTGTGTGCGGATGATGTTAGCAGGGACATGCGGGTGAACACGGTAATTAGTAAGACCGATGGGATTAGCAAAGGGGCAAGCGTGCACACAAATACACGGAGACAAGCTGGACAAGAGCCGGACTTGGACGATAGATAACTTACCTTTCGTGATATGAGCCGGAATCGGTGAGGGGCACTGGCGCTGCAGCAGGTTGCTCCCGCTTCCCTGGCGGTGGTTACTCTGGGCCGAGAGCGGTCGCTCCAGCGAAGAACAGCGCTGAAAGGAGTGGAGAAACCACAAGTTAGTCACAGTCGGAAGACAGATATTTTTAAGGTTTCAAGATGAGGCGATTTAAAGGACCTAGTGTTGTCAGTGGTCTAGCGGGGCGCATGCAGATGAGCGCGCTTTTGGATCTACGATTGCTGGGGCTCTGACTCCGGGATACTCACCACATGGGCTGGCTTCTATGGCGAGTGTCATTGGCCAACAGAACGAGAGAGACAACTTAATAGCATGTAAAATAAGACAATAGTCGGTTTCCCGTCTATTCGAACATTTTCCTTCTTTTTCGTACAATAAATTTTGACTTTATCAAGGTCTAACCTAACCTTTTTAGGCTTTAAATATTAATAATAAATTCTCTTGGATAGAACATTTTCAATTATTATATTTATTGCAGATAAATAAATAACCTTTTAAGGCTTTAAATATTGACTAATAAATTCTTGTAAAATCTTTTACTTTGCGAATAAATAAATAATTTTTTTAAAATTACCAACAGTAAAGGCCTGATTATAGGTGAAAAATTTAATAATATATGTATTATGGTCTAAAAAATATATTTTATTATTATTAAACTAAATTGTTCTCCTAGAATTTATCATCGAAATCAAAGTATCCTTTAGTTTTCAATGTTTAAATCTCTTTTTTGTATTTTTAGTCTATCATAAAGTCAAGAAACGTCCATAAATACTATATAATAGTATTTCAACTTTGTTCTTAAATATTTCTTGTAGACTTAAACTGAATACCCCCACCCCAAATACTTACAACTGGCAAAGGGGGCCGACTTAGTGAGGCAGCCGGAGACTTCTGGGTGGCCGGCGTGGCCTGTCCCGAGGCGGGCTGACCATTCGGGGCAGCGGATCCGTTGTTGAGGCAGCTTCCCGACTCGTGAATGGTCTCCGGGTTCTGGAACGTGTAGACGGTCAGCGGCGGACGCTGGTGACCCTTCTCGTAGGCCGTCGAGATAGTGTGCGGACGGTCGGCGGTCGGTGGCAGGGTGTCCACAACGTCCTGGGAATGTGGGGGCCAGGTGGAGACATTTGCCGTCTGATTCGTTGCATTCGAAGCCTGATAGGTGAGGAGAACGCAAAAACGTTAGTACAGTTTAACTCACTTTAAGGCCACACAAAAAATGTATTTAAAATTTGATAAAAACGGAAGAGGAACAAATGAAAACCTGTGTTGTTAGAGCTGGCGATGAGCAAAAGCCACTATCACTGGATTCACCAGGTTTCAAGCGAATTGCGGGCGTTACAAACTAAAGAAACGAAAACAAAACACAAATAAAGGTTGATGAAAACCAAGAAATGAACAAGAGGACGCCACAATGTCGAATACGGGTTAAATAGTGGTCAAAAAACCCCTCTAAAGATGACGCACCTGCGACAGAGAGCGAGGATAGTGATGGTGACCCGGCGAGTTGCTGGAGCCACTGCTGTTCATGCTGCTGATGGAGCAGACGGAGCTCTTTCGCGAACCCAGCGAATTGGAGCAGCCACCGCCCTGCGAGCCGGAACCGCCGCCCGGGGACTCCGGATACAGATTAATGCTGGCCTTGGCGTCGTGGATGAGCTCCTCGGAGGCCTGGGGCAGGACACTGGGCTCCTTGGTTACCAGGGCAATCGACTGCATGGCCTCCTGTAAAAGTTGTATGTTTTAGAATCACTGAATTTAGATAGATAGATAGTAAAACGCACCTGAAGATGACCCAACTCCGACATGACCTCGCACTCCTCGTGCACCACCGGCTGGAGCATGTGAACGAAGCTGCAGTAGCGCAGCCGCTCCTCCACCATGGCCGCCCTCAGGGACTTCTTCTCCACGTCCTCCAGCTCGGCGCGGCGCAGGGTCACGTCCTGCATGTGGGAGTCCATTAGCGACTGCAGCCCGTCCGTCTGACCCTTGCGAGCCTTCTTCTGCAGGCGCAGCGTGTCGCTGGAACGCTTCTTCAGCTCGCTGCGACACCGCTTGTATTCTTTGGCATGGTCCTTGTCGATGGTGGCCACCGTGCGCTTCCAGTCCTCGATCTTGTCCTGCAGCGGCTGCACCAGGCAATCCATGATGGCGCTGGTGAAGGTCTTCAGGCGCGTCTCCACCGCCTTGTGGCGCAGGCAGACGCGGGTCAGGGCGGTGCCGATCTCTTTGGAGGCTCCTGAAAGGGGAATAAATCGAATTAGTAAGGTGCGAAAAGGGTAAGAAGTAAAGATTGAAAATTATCGATATTTTCGATATTTTCACAGTATAGATACGATAATATTGATGTTTTCGAGGGACAGCTCCCTTTAAATATCGAGAAATATATCTATCTACTACTGTCTTAATTGATTTTCCATAACATATCAAACAATTGATCGATATTTTCGATATTTTCAGAATATAGACGCGATAAAATCGATCTTTTTCAAGGGAAACTTCCTTTAAATATCAAGAAATAGAAATACTACTGTCTTAATTGATTTTCCATAACAAACTAACCATTTCCCACTTGTTTTACCCAATGTGTTTTACAGAACTTGTACATTTCGTACCCCAAACTTAATTGTTTAAACAAGTAAGCATGCAATATTAAACAGTTGCCAAATTAAATTACTGAAGGGGAACATCCATCGCCATCCACCAGAGGGAATGGAAAGGGGAGTAAAACCCCCAGCGGAAATGTTTAGAGCCATGCAGCAGCAACAATTGCACGCCATGGGCTGTCGTTTCGATTTGGAGGCGCAGCAGACATTGCATTGCATGCGACACGATTCGGGGCTCCACTCCTCCAAAGTCTTTGGTCTTCGGTTCCCGTGTCCCGTGTGTGCCCATTATGCCATGCCAGGGAGATGGATTCAAAGTCGGCTCCCGGAAAACTGGTCAGGCAAACTACTGCTACTGCTCCTGCTTCTGCATATCACCGTGAAATGACAGGCAGCCCGATTATCTCGAACTGCCTCAAACTGAAGCTCTGAATCCTCGTTTAATATGTAATTATCTACCAAATAGGCAGGTCAGCCAGCCCATTGGTTCTGCTTTGACTTGCCGGCAGCTCCCAGAGCCACTTGCTCCACATCGCAATCCCAGCTAATTGAATGGAAACTACCGGCGTGACCAGAAAGGACACATGGTGGCCATCAAGAATCTAGAACAGAGACTCAAGTTGCGTTTCACCCTCGTTTCGAATGGCACAAGGGGGCGAACTGACACTTGTACCGATGCTTGACCGAACTAAGCCAAGTAACCACACTGAAACTAATGAAACCATTTAGCAAGTGCAAACGACAGGGCCAAAAAGGGGTGGCTAACTAATAGCAGGAATTACGAGGATATGCACTTAGCACCATCCAAATATAAAAGCCATAAAGGGGCGCAAAAAAGTGTGCACGGGAGTGGATCAATATATGCTAATGCAAGACGCCCAACGAAAGGGGGGAAATGATTGAAATGTTAAGTCTTGCAATCCCACAGCAGTTGCAAATTGGAATTCGGAAGCTTAACTGAATAAAGCCGGTTTTACCGCCTCAACGATATTCGTCTGTAGATTTATCCATCAGCACCGGCGTTATTTCTCATTAAAAGATGAAGGCACTCAGTTATGCACAATTAATTTCTGCATTTTTACTGAATATTTATAAGGAATGAATCAATCGCAGTTTACTATTCAAAACAATCTCTTAATTAGCTTGCAAAATAAGAAATTGTTCACGGAAGTTTCCAAGTAGTTATCTATTAAATGCATTTGTACAAAAATATATCTGTTAATTTTATCTACTTATAAAATGGGAATGCAATTATTGCATGTTTTAGTAGTATTTCCAAATTGCACGCTCATGAATACAATTAAATCATTGCCTAACTATTTTTTTAATGAGGAAATATAATAACTAGTTGTAATCATTTAACCATATTATAACTTCATTACTCAAACAAAATCCCTGATTTAATCAAACTAACTAGACCTGATTTGTTATGATTAAACCAAGATTTTCCACTCAAAGGAATGCAACTGTAAGTGACTAAAGAGTGACAAACGCACAAAACAGCAACAACTTGTGCTAAATACACGCTGCTTGATATGATCAAAGCTCTCCCATATGGTAATTTTCGCATTTCCCGTCCCGGTTTGAGGTGTTCTATGTGAGAATCGGACGTCGGACATTGCATAATCGGGCACTCGATGAGTGCGACGCATGGCAGCCAATAAATAAATATAAATAGCTAAAGCAGCGAAATGCGTGAGCTCAGACAGAACAGCTACATTGCTACATTGCCGTCCGCAGAAGGGGAAAATCAACAGCATAAACATTGAAAGCGTGAATGTGTAAAAACCAAAAAATAAAAAAAATCAGATCGATGACCGCCGCCGACTGTGAGCAGACGCATGAATAATGAGCAGCAGAAAGAGATAAAGTACAGGGGCGGAGGGGCAGTACCAACCCAGATAAATCCACGTTTTGAACTTACCTCTTGAATTGGTCGCCGCATCGGCTATCTTTTGGAAGGCATCCAAATAGGCGGCGATCGCCTGGATGGCGGCCCTGTGAACAGAAAAGAGCAAAGAGTAACATCATTATTATTGCGGTCCCATGCAGCCAGATAGATTTAATAAACATCTTCTCCAATTGCCCGTGGGCGACATTTCAATTAGGCGACAGCTAGAAAAAGAACTGCTCGAAGACAGACAATCTGTGAGTACTAAAGAGTGGAATACCCTTTCTTATAAGATCTTTCTACGAAAGTTATAAACCATTTGTCTTTTTTCCTTGCTGTTAATATCATAAATAGACAGAAAAATAAAAGGAAACAATTTAGAACTTCATTATATTAGATTTTGTTTTCTCTACTTTAAGGGTCGTTTTCTCGTCCGTTTGTTAAATTTAAAGTAGAGTTAAAGCCTTGAAATCGTATGGGAAATCAGAGTTTTATACCCTACTTTAAATTTAACCGGTGGACGAGAAAACGGCCCTCAGATTTTTATTAAGTTTTCAATATGTCAACTAAATTATAAAAAATAGGATAGAATCATAAAAACCCTAGTAGCCAAATTAAAATTTTTTTTTTATTTTACAAAATAATTTTTATTTTAAAAAATGTGGCATAAAAGTATATATCTGTATGATCTTAATTGCATGATATGGTATGAAGGTATAGGAAGCCTTTCTTTTTTTCTTATTATTTCCATTTTACCATTCATAATGGATCTTTCACATTGAAACCTCATAAAGATGAGTATGTTTCTGTTGCAAATTTCCTGCTAAAATATCGACACCCTCGCCAAGGGTATAAAGAGATGGTTCTAGTACCCAACTGGGGCTCTTGATCCGCTCAAGTGGCTGCCGAGCGTCCTCACGGCGCGGCAACCTGGTCAAGATGTGTGTCAAGCGCAGCGGGCAAACACTCGGAGCGAGTTTTGGCAAGCTCGGTGATTTCAGCTCGGACAACAGGATTTGGGGTAATGATTAATGCAGCCGCTATTCGGCGGCCATATACTTATGTATGCCCAGACATTGCTGCGGGGACCCTCGTCCACGAGCGAATTTGGGCCAAGTCTGAGCATAAAAACAACAACAGGGAGAATAAAATAAACAAAAACCCATAGACTGTGTCGGTGGTCTCCGTAGTCTCCACCCAACAACAAGAAATTTAGCAACTCAAGAAACAGAAGAAAAGGCACGAAAATAATCATAGAGTCCATGTGTTGTGTGTGTGAGGAAGTGGAAAGCATAAAAGCAAATTGAGGTAAACGAATAAATTTGTTTATTCACTCGCATGTTCCCATTCTAAAGTTTTGCAATTGCAGTTGTTATTTCGCCGCTGTTGAAATCTCGTTAAAGTTCGAAAAATAATTTTCCAGAATGGAGAAACTAAAATTTACACCCAAAATAAACTCACCTCAAGCATGTGTGCAGTTTTCCGGCTTTAGCCACAAAATCCTCCCACAGTGGCGAAGTATTCTGCAATAGAGGAAAAGAATAAATTAGTTGAATAAGTTTGAATCCCAAGCCAATAATATACATATGTATCCACTTTAAGTGCTTCTTGCCCCAACAAATCTTACGTAAGTCAAAGGTTTGCCAACCCCAACAAAGCGAAATCCCAAGGAAAATCAATAGAAGACCCCTTAAGTCAAGGAATGCAATAAACCAACCTCTCATCTATCAGGGAATTACTTTCGAATGACAAATAAAAGGACAAATCGTGTGGACGTGTTACTTAAGATGGTTTTCCCTTGGCTTTTATTCAAGGGATCTTATTGATACATTGCTATAGTAAATACTCGAAATAGTAAGTTAAAGGGCATGCCTTTAAAAAATAAATATAACATTTAAATCTATAAAAAGAAACTCAAATAAAAGTTCACATAATTGAGTGTTTATTTTTTCCATTTCTTAGCACAAAAGTGCAAAGTTCATTTCGTCATCGCCTTTTTTTCTGGATTTAATCTAATTGAGTTTGACTTTTGTTGTCTGCGCATTTCATTAAATCCGAATAAAGCCGAGAAATATTGTGCAAATTCAACGAGTAAATAACCCAACATGACATGAATGGATTCGCAAGTTGAGCGACACATTTAATGTAATCAAAGTGGGTGAGATCCATATGGCTGATTGAATACATTATCGACCAGTCCCGTTGGGGATTATTTTAATTAAATTTTTCCTGCGTTCGGAGGTAATTTTGATTAATTAAGTTTGCATCTCAATATGGGTAAAAAAAAAGGGGAAAAAAATAGAAACGAAAGTTTGCCAGACTTTTATAGAGATTGAGACTTTCATCCATAATCCGTAATCCGTTTCCCATCAATCCAACCCTTAATCGAGTAAATACAGTAAGCCCATTTGGGAGCCAAAAGGCAAGCTGACGTAGCTCCCACATGGGTTTTCTCACATAATCCTGTCCAGTTGGCTTATTTGGACAAGACCACAAAGAGTTGCCGCTGGCTTCTGGCCAAGTATCAGTGTCACGATGGCCGAACGGAAGCGGATTGCTAAGAGCCCGCCGTAAAAGGCAGCTAAAGATTTTATGTATGCTTCTTTTTTTATTTACTTTTTTTCAAGAGAAATAATAATGGCAAGTAAAGAAGCGCAAATGGTCAATAAAAGCGAAAACGAGTTTTTCGTTTTGTTTTGCTTCGTTTTGCCCGTAATAATAATGTTTTCAATTACACAACAAATGACATTGAAAGCAAAAGCCAGAAGAGCAGAGAGTGGGGATGGAAAACAGCGGGAGGCGTCTTAATGAAGACATTAAATGTTCCAATTTCCAACCAGACAGAGGAATGCATCCATCCACCCATCCAGCCCAAATGCCAACTGCAATTCCATTTCACTTTCGATTTTTGCGCAATCGAGCAAAAATTAATGCCAAACAAAACATATACAAAAAAAAAACCATCAAAATGCCAATTGTAAAATCGATTCGAATGCAAAATGCCCAAAAGAAGCCGGGTCTGGGCCAGGGCAATTGCATAAACAGCGCGGCTCAAAGGTAAACGAACGAGACAAAAGCCGGGAAACTCACAAATAAATACAAACTGAGCAAAGCACAAGCAAGAATTGAACGGAAATCGATTTTAGGCTGTTTATTTTTATTTTTGCAAGCCTTTTATTTTTGCCTATGCTACAACTGAGCTCAACAAAAACCCTTAACCATTGTCAGCCCCCACATAAATGGGTTTTAAATGTGGCATTCAAGCGATGATAACGACTTTGTACACCTTTCACAAAAAACAATATGGTAAATAAAATATATATAATATCACGGAAAATGGAAACGCCGAAAATGTTATTCGAAATGATATTGTATTGCTATGGTAATATAACGAAAGATATGAACTAGCATGAGATCTGTAAATCAAACCTGATATCATCATAGAAAAATGTAAAAAATTCAATAATCTTTTTGTGTGGGGTAAAATTTTTGAAGAAATCTGAGCAGAATAAATTCCAATAGATTCCAAAAAAGATCAAAATTTTCATAAGTTTGTAGGCCCATTTTTCCAATGATTGAAGCACGTTTCCAAGACGCGGACGCGGCCCACATGCAAATTATTATTGTTTATTCGTTGCAAAACCATTTTTTGTGTGTGACAAGCAACCGCCAGCGACAGCTTGATAAGCGGTTCTTGCCTCGATTGCGTGGGCTGCGGCTTGTCGGCATTTTGTGAATGAACATTTTGTAGTCTTATGCCGTTGCCACCATCCAAGCAACTAAGCTGGCAATCCACTCGCGGGCCAAAACCAAAACACGCAAAGCTGTCATTACATTGACCAGGCCCAAACCGTTCGCGTTGGCGTAGAAGTTGTATTTTGTGCTGGCGTTGGGTCTCTCTCCCAGCTCAGCTGGTCCTCCTAATCTCGGTTCGGGTATCGGTTATATTATGAATGGGCGATATAAGCTGAGGTGCAGAGAGGTTAGTCGGGTTTATTATCGTTCAGGAAAGAAATGTGGTCAGGAAATGGTTTTCTAAGGTAACGTAAAAACTAGCATTTGATGTAGAAATTTCTATTTAATATATCTTTATTTCCACATTATTATGCACAATGCAGGGGTAGCTATAATAATATCACTTTAAAAAACCATAAAAAAGTCGTTAAATGTTGTTATTGAATTTTTCTAAAAATGTCTAATTAAAATGCACCAAACCCGAGCCGAACCCCACGTACGTGGTTGTATACAAAACACTTTCCAGTTTCTGGCAGACATCGAAATCGAGTCTGTGCTCAGAGGAAGCCACCGAGTGCAATGGACGTGTGGTGCATCCAGTCTCCATGTGTATCCATTTATCTTGGCAAACTAACTCTCTGTGAGTGAGCTAGACACCTAAAAACCCACAATTTATGCCAGTCAGAGCAGCCAGCTCTCCGAGAAACTGGAAAAGTTCACACAACTTCACGGGAAGACCCACACCCATGCACAGAGTACACAGCAAACTACAAACAGGCAAACGTGTGGCTGGCATTATAAACTCTTGATCTTTCCAATAGCCTACAAAGGCGGCCCACACGAACAGACTCCTCAGCTGGTTCACAGCCCCATTCATGCTGCAATTTTGTTGCTGCTGCTGCTGCTGCTCGATAATGCCCCCAAAGATTCCCAGCAGCAAAAGCAGCTAGCTAGCTAGAAAAAGAAGCAGGAGAAGGAGGAGGAGTTGGCCAAAACGGGTTCAGAGCCATCCCGTCGCCGCGTCCTACATTGCCAACATTTTGGGTTGGCGAAACAAAGCCACACAGCCTCGAGAAAGAGCCGTTTCTTATGCTAAATCGCAGAGCCTGCGAAGCAGAAGTTCGCACTGATTGATTTTCTATGAGATCCGACTTACTATATATGACTGCCTGGGGCCATAATTTTGGTTTTGGCCAGATGATGTTGACTTTGGCGGATTGCCCGGCGGCGGAGGGAGGGAGCAAAATCGTGCGCCGCTAATTTGCACCTAAAGACGGTCTTTGTTTCTGGCGTTTTCGGTTTAGAAAGTAGAAAATTATTCGCCGGGAATATGAAATGAAAGTGTTCCGATATGAAATGAAAGTGTTCCCTCCCGCTAAGAAAGTTTTCGCAAATCTCTAACAAAACATTTTCCCTGAATGGTCAAATTGGCACATCGATTGGTTCGATTCGAATCGAATCGATCGGAACTTATGCCAATCATCATCGGTGTAATTCAATAACCGACAGTTGGCTGTTTTTGCATATGCCCCATCTAACAATGCAAATCGTGACCCCAAAAAAAAATGTATCTGACTCCCTGTCTGGCTTGGTATATATAGGTAGTGGTATACCCACTCTTTACCAATTCTTATTATTCTACCCGTCGTTACCCAAGAAGTTACTTGCAACACGCGGCCACCCGATATAGAAACCGCAACATGAACTCAAGTTGCCATCAACGCGTGCCACCAACCGCAAAACAAAACGGATCGAAGAAAAAGGTAAGCAGAATAAAAATATAGCAAAGGGTTTAATGAAGTAAAATCAGAAGAAATTCGTTACATTTTTCATGTTTTAAATTGCCAAGATAAAACGTATTCTTAACATTTTATGCCAACAAAATGTTAAACCTATTTCAAAACAAAAGAGAACGGTATAGTCGATTACATCGTCTAGCGGCCATTTCATTTTTTGCTTAAGGGGTTATATACCTTTTTTGAGCGAAAAAATTGAGGGAACTTTGGATTTTTTTTTGGTGTGTAGCAATTATTTTATGACAGTGAAGTTATTATTTATTAATAGTACATGCTTTTATCGAAACAACAAGCCGTTGTTCTTGAAAAAATATGAATAATTTACGAAGTTATGGCAATTCTTTCGGAACCCTTTTTTTTATAGCGGCTTGCGGTGACCACGATGGAAGTCCAGCAGGTCAACTTATATCAAAAAACCAAAAATTTTTAGTTAGTATAGTATTATTTCCAGTTCGTGAACGATTATTTTTAAGAATATTTGCTTTTTTCTGCATACAGTAACAATTTTTCCAAAAAGTTGATTTTTCGAGTTCTAAAAATTTTATTAAAAAAATCTGATCTGCGAAATTTAAATTGGCGCATAAAAACTGAATCGTTCACGAACTCGGCACAATCATTACGAATAATTAAAAAAAAATTGAAGAAGATCGATCAAATAGTTCTTGCGCAATCGTGGTCACAGCGAAGGCACTTTTGGAAAAACACGACTTTGAGATAATCGCATTCAAAGTTTTACGTTGACGTTGCCAACTATTGAAGTCGAGCGGGGCAAAACGTTCCTATCGAACTATTATTCGGATCTGTATGAAAATTTGGGAAGATCTTCTTTAGGGGATATACTTTAGGATTCAGCAAAAAAAAATGTCGTTTTTTTTAAAAAAAAAAAGGTATATAACCCCTTAAGATTATTTTTATTTAGAAGTCCAATATTTCATACCTGATAAAGTAATTATCTTTACTTTATTTAATGCATTGAGTTTAATTTAAATCAAATTTTCTTTGATTACAAAAATTAGGAATAGGGTCCTATATCCTACATTTATACGCAACTTTTTCAAAATATGCAGGGGCTTTAAAACATCGATCGATATCATCCACTACTTTATTTTTATAGGTTCTCCTCTGATCTCAGCGCAAATAGAAGTAGGGCGTGGAATATTCATTACATCGAATGCCTGCAACTTAAAGACCAATTTGTAGCGTCCTCGAAGAGTAGGGCCTTGAATATTTTCTAGTTTAAGCTTCAGATCGAAAGGCTCGTGCACCAAAACGGTCTGGAAAAGGGCATTTGCATTGTCTGCGTAAATTCCATTCGAATTGCACTTACACCGCGCTCTCTGAAGCACTTTTTGGCCACATCGTGGCGATTGATAATGAAGCCCGTCCAGTACTTGTACCAGTACTGGTTCTTGTCGTACATGATGGAGCAAAAGTCCTGGGTGGCCATGCTAAAGACAGTGGGCTCCCAGGTGCCGCGGTTTTGGTGGAAAACATCGAGCCTAGCCTGCAAGGGTGCGAAAGTTGTGGGCTACATTAGGGGATTATTTGAATGCTGTTGACTTTACTGCAATGCGATCGGTGGGCTGTACATCCCATATCATGGTGATGTTGCCGGAGACGTGGAGTACATCAGTTTCATGTTCGATCACAAGATCTTCGAAGTTGGCTGCCTGACGGGCGTTGATGGATCCAGGCGGACCGTCGGTGCACGGCGAAAGTATGTCTGGGTCCTCGATCAGCAGTTCGTAATTCATGGCCCAGCATCTGGCCAAGCCAAGAAAAAGCAGCAACACGGTTCTCATTTTGATTATAGCCCCAACAATGTGCGATGAGTCCCATTTATAGCTACTGCCAAATCGTGTGGAAATTTAATTTTTAATACATAACACCAACATAACATGGTTCCGCCTCCTATCATAAAGATCGTACATCCAAGCGACAAGCTACAAAAATGTAGAATAATCTCGTTTTTGTAATTGGAAGAACCGTTTAAGAGCCCTAAAAACCAACGTCAAGGTCGCCATGGAAATATTAGTGACTAAAACACTTTATATACACTAAAACCTACTCAATTTTGAGTTGGAAATGATGCGTTTTAACTATTAATAGTAAAAACACTATAGAAAAATATATAACAACCTTTTCAGTTTTAAACTAACAAGTCGGAACCCTTTTCCGTCTTAATAAAAGATTAGGTACTATTTGGAGACAGACTTTTGTTTTTATTGAGAAGAGACCATCTATGAAAAATCTCTTTTTCGGTTTTGAAAAATACAAAGATAACGCCTGACTTAATTATAAGGCCTCCACCATCGTTTTACTTTATCTTCTCGGCTTCTCCCCTGATTTCAAAGCATATGGAAGGATTTCGTGGAGTGTCCTTTTCGTCGAAAGCTTCAAAATGGACCACGATCTTGTAGCGACCCTGCAACGAGGTGCCTCGGATGTCCTTCAGCCGCAGCTGCATATCAAATGGTTTGTGCATCAGCACCGTCTAAAATGGGAATCCATGTTAAAGGCGCCAAAAATTTAGTAGCTTCAACTCACTCCACGCGTATTGAAGCAATTCTTCTCCACCTCCTCGCGGTTCGAAATGTATTTGGTCCAGTACTTGTACCATGACAGATTCTCGTCGAACATTGCGGCACAAAAGTCCGCGGTGGCCAAGGTAAATAGGGTCGGTTCCCAGCTGCCGCGATTGTAGTGCATCACTGCAAATCTCCCCTGAAATAAATCTGCATTTTACACAGCGAATCTCGTTTCAGGAAGAGGAAAATTACGGAAATGCGATCGGTGGGCTCCACATCCCAGGTGGCGGTGAGATTCTCTGAGAGATGTATGATATCGGAATCCTGATCGATTACCAAATTGTCTATGTTAAATGCATCTGTGAATCCAATGGATCCGGGCGGCTTTTCGGTACAGGGAGCGAATATATCCGGATCCTCAAGCAACAGTTCGTAGTCCGCGGCCCGGGAACTGGGCACGATTACGATTCCAATGAGCAGCAGTGCAGTTTTTAACATGATGTTACCCCAAAAGTTGCGATTTTAGGTTTTATATAGCCAGTACGGACACGATTTCTAAACCAATTACGGATTAACATAGCTTAGCTTGTAACAAATTAAATTGTAACCGATTAAAACAGACTTGTTATATTTATTACAAAATGTCACGAGCTATTTAATGGAAATATTCTAATTAATAATCTAATTCCGATAAATTCCAGAACATTAGATAATTTGGAGAATGTCTAAAATTCAATAAAATATTTCAATTAAATTAAATACATCTATTAATTGTATCAGTCCTCAGACCTATCTGTTAAAATTTTTTGATCTGTGATAGGCAAATATGAAAACAAATCTCAGAAATTTATTTCATATTCCATAACTGTTTTGCATAATTGCTAGACAGTGACACACCCACGGCCAATAACAACACGATAAATGAACACACATGCCTCAATTATATCATAGCTTGTGAATCACAAATGCAGTTTCAAATTCATTAAAATTAATTGCCCTTTGATTGCGGCTGTAGCTCAAATTAAACATGCAGAGCACTCCACAGCTTGAACCTCCACGTGTCAAATGCTACGAAGCCAGCTTTCCACAGCAGTCATTCCACAGCAACAGAGGGAACAGCATTAAGAATTGTTCCCGCAAAGTTATTTACGGAATAATGCAAAGTAATTAATACAACTAAGACGACAATTCTCATGCTCTCCAATTGTTTGTGGAGCTTGATGGAGAAATGCATTTCGCATTCTTGTTTCATCTCAGATTTCATTGCCTGTCTGTGTGGGAGGAGGCAGACAGATGGATCGAATTGCAATAGTGACCTGCGTCATTACACGTTTAGTCAGAGCTCTAAGCATCTGTAATTGAATCTGAGCAAAGATGTTGGAGAAAATTATGTCATAAATTAGTCCAATTTGTTACTAGCAATTTGCCATACCAAACGAAAACATTTTTGGCGATCGCACCTCTTTCATATCATTTTAAAATACCTGTTAAACTCCCAAGGCTTTTAATATTAGCTTAAACTATTCATTCCCATATCATAATCTTTAAAGCCTTTACTATGAATATATAAATGCAATTGTTCGCAAAGCAAAAGTCCTTGCACTAGTTATTAAATGCATGATGGCATAATGTCCGCATCCTGTTCGGTTCAACTCTCAACTACAAACAGCATTTCCAGTTGAGATTCAGCCTTGAACATGTCGTTCAGTCTTTTCAAATGCGCAAAACAATACAATCGAAGGGGAGAGAGATAAAAACCGCGGGACATTGTCATAGAAATGGAAACAGCTGCGAGTGCTGCCATAAATAAAAACTCATTAGGTCTTGTCTATGGTATTCTACATTGTCTATAAATACACAAAACATGAAATTTGACTTTCGTCTTACAGCCCACACAAGCACAATTTAAGCGCTTAGCAGCAATGTCAAAGACTGAAGAAATAATTAGAGAATATTTAAAATAAAAAAGCTAAATAAAAAAATATGTAATAAAAAAATGTAATTTCGCCCAACGTGGGGCTCGAACCCACGACCCTGAGATTAAGAGTCTCATGCTCTACCGACTGAGCTAGCCGGGCACTTGTGACAACAGCGGACAAAAAGCCAGCGCTTTTGGTGCCTCAGGCTAAGAACCCGAACTTGGGAAACGATCTGAATAGATCAAGACACAAATAAGACAAGTATACACCTGCTGAATAAAAACATATAACTAATATAAAACAAATGTAGGAGCAGTAAACCAATCACTTTGAACAAATTAACTCGCTGAACAAAACAAAGGGCGTTCATATTCCCGCTATTCACATTTTCTTCTTATCTTAACCGATCAAAATGGTAAAACAAAAGTATATCACAAACCCTGCTCTCGATGCATTTGAACTATCAATTGGAAAACTGGTTTTTCGAATCCAAATGAATTGGGTGTTAGCCTCATTTTAAGCAAATTAATACGAATATTAATTTGGTATTTATTTGGAAATTAAATAAAAAAATCAATCGCCCAACGTGGGGCTCGAACCCACGACCCTGAGATTAAGAGTCTCATGCTCTACCGACTGAGCTAGCCGGGCATGCGGACGTAATCGCTGGCCATCGAACATCGGGGAATGTGAAACATATTCTGTGGGAGGGGAACATATAAATATAATTTGAAAATATTTAATCCAAAGATATTATTATTATCTTGTTCTACCAATCATAGGGGAGTAATTCTTGCGATCAATGCCACTACGTTCCACGTGCTTATAAAGATTTACGTAACAAACCCATCCAACATACTTATTAGCTGTCAAAAATAGTAACGCCCGTTTGTGATTTTCTAAGGCAAAGATATTATCAAATTCGATCGTGTGTGTAATCAGAATCTTTGGCATGCGACGCAGAGCAGTATATATGGGGCATGCTCTAGCACACTGTAGTTTCATATCGGGAACATGGATAAAATGAGCGCTACTTTAAGGATCCTGGTGCTCCAAGTGATCATCTCTTGGGCTGGCGCTACTGAATACCAGTTAATATTGGACGAAGACGGCCATCTTGCCCCATGCGAACATCATCCGGGAAATCCTTCCAACTTCGATGCAATGGTGGATATGACCACCGTCAATGTAACCAACTCCGGAAACAAAATGGCAGTAGAAGGACAACAATCTGTCATATGGAAAGATGTCCAGCCTGGGGACAACATAAAGGTAAGTCCTTCGTAAGGGAAAGGTTGACTATTAACTTTGTAAATATCCCCAAGATTTCTGTCCAAATCCTTCGCATGGAGAAGGGCTCCTGGCAGAAGACTATGTTCGGCACCAGCAGTAATAACTTTTGTAAGAACATGTTCGATAAGAATCAGATGTGGTATCAGTTCTGGACTAAGTATATTACGAATTCCGATGAGATCAAAAGCAAGTGCTTAAACACACCGGGCGTAAGTAAATTTATAAAATTTGATGTCATTATTAACTGCACTCTCGAACTTTAGGCCGTCATAAAATATCAACCTTACGAAATAGAACTGAGGGCCAATCTGAATGTTCCCAATCTGGATGGGCGCTACAAGGTGGTACTGCTGATCGAGGCATTTGATAAGCGCAATGTGAAGCGCCCAGTTTCCATTTGCACTGAGTTCCGCGGCAACGCATTGAAGGTCTAATCGGGACAATTATATATGCATGCTGAACATACAGCGAAACACCATTAAAGTTTTTAATCGTGAACATGAACCATGGGGATGCATTACAGGGGTCGTTGGGGTGTCGCATGCGAGGAGCTTCCGTTCAGTTCATCATGGAGTCCCAGAGCAGCCGGCCGAAGCAGGCGGACAATTTTCATGATTGGTGTGCCGAGTTGAGCCAAGAGTCCTCCATCCACGGCGTGCCCTACGTATCCCGAAGAGATCTCCACTGGACCGAGCGCCTTTTCTGGATGACCATAGTCCTGGCTTCCGCCTACTACGCCATCAGCAGCTGCCTGGCCCAGTGGGATCGGTTCCGGGACAATCCGATTGTCTACGAGTACGAGTATCTCTTTTCGCTGCGCAAATTTCCCTTCCTGGGCGTAACACTTTGCACCAGCTTTCAGGATGAGGCTTCGGTTAATAGGGTCATAAACGAGTGAGTTTTTGCATGGGTTCAAAATCCAAAGAGAGGATAGAATGGAAAAAGTGGGGGACATTTCGTAATTTAACAAGAAAGAACGCGGGTGACCCGAGATGGCGAGAGAGATGACGATATAAAACTTTGATCGCGCATAACTTTTTAACAAATGGTCCGTTTTGACTGCACTTTTACTTTTCCGAAATCTTTAGGGGTGTGGGCGCCAGACATCTTTTTCAAAAACGTTTAAGGCGATTGTGGGCGTCAGAGGGGGCGTGGCACTCGGCTGAAACAAACTTGCGCTGCGTAGAAAGCCCAAGAGTATGTGTGGGTAATCCCAACTTTCTAGCTTTTGTATATTTCGAGATCTGAGCTAGAATGACTCGGCTAGTGATCGTGATCAAGAATGCTTCTCATTTTTTACGAATTTAATATACCCTTTTACTCTGTGAATAATGGGAAAATTATCAAAAAATATCAAAAATTTTTAATCTTTTTATTCGAGAACTTGGGGATTGGATCCCAAGCAAGACCCGGAAAAGGCAAAATACTATGCGGAATTTCTGCGTGTGCTTAACCACCTTAAGTACAAAACTTTGGATACTCTAAAGCCTTACGAGAATGATACCAGTCTGGACAACTTGAAGTATGTGGACATACTGCTGAAACTAAATGAGAAAATTCTACCGACCGAAATTCCCGTTGTTTTGGCGCCGATAATAACGGAGGTGGGTTTATGCCAAACAACCAGTCAGTTAAACCGATACGGCAATCCTTACGGCAAAGTGTAAGTCTTGGTATAGAGGTAAAAAAAAACTCTTTGGTTTAATATTACTTGTAGAAACGTGAATTAATTTATCTATTATCTCTTAGACAAGACATGACAGTGGCGGATGCCAAGGACTGTGGCTTCTTTAGCGAGTGCTCGTTGATGCAAAAGCCGTTCAATAGCATTATGACCCATTTGTTTCTAGTGAGCAATTCATCTCTTTTAAAAACCCTATATAACTCTAAGCTACTTTGTAGTACCTGCACGATGTCAATGAATTTATGCTACCCGACGATAAGGCCACCATTACTTTTGATGCCAAAGTCCTCAGTTCGTACGTTCTCAGGCTAATGTTGCACTCGATATCGGCGGATAGCGAGGTGCGAAATTTACCGGTGGCATATCGCAAATGTCGCTACACTGACGAAAATAATCTGGATTACTTCACTGTAAGTTTATGATTTTTGACGAATATGTCAAGACATCGAAGTTATCATTGAACTTATATATAGCCGTATCATCCGAGCCTGTGTCGGCTGGAGTGCCGAATTAAATGGGCAGCGAGCCTGTGCCACTGCAAGCCCTATTTCTATGTGGCAGCTCCCGAAGTTCCGGTTTGCAGCATAGCTGGAATGCTCTGCCTGGACCACAACAAGTGGCTGGAGAAACCATGCGATTGCTTTCCGTTGTGCCGCGAGAACACCTACAACATTGTCGACGAGGAGGAGCAGAGTGGGGTGGGTGTGGGAATAGTCTGTCCTTTAAGAGCCCCAATTAACCCATTCTACGATTCCTTCAGGGCGATCAAAACTACAACGGAGAGCAGTTCGAGCGGACTTTGATCATTAAGATGAACCTACCCAAAATGGGCATGAAGCGGCGTGTGGTGTTCAGCACCGATCAGTTGATAATGTCGTTTGGCGGAGCCATTGGCCTCTTTCTCGGTGCCAGCTTCATGACCTTATACGGCCTGATCTACCTATTCCTCACTTTTGTCGCCTTCAAATGCAAACATTCCTTGTATTAAAAATAACACCGTACTAAATATGGGCACATATCGAAAACATTTTGGCAATTCCCCCTATTTACCATTTCAAAGTATATTGTTTATCATTAAGGATTACGTCAAATATGATAATTTTCTTGTTTTTAATAATTTTTGCATATTTCTTTATAAGCCGACCTTAAGTTATAACTTTTATTTTGCTACACTTCAATATCAGGAAGTCGGAGACATATTTTATAAGGACGTTTATGTTTTTTGTTAAATTACGTAAATACCTGAAATATTGTTATTATTATTACTCCTTACAATTATAACGTTTTTGCAACATCCGAAATTTATTTTTGCATTTTATAGATTTTCTCATATACTTTAACAAACTTTTTTAATAACTGCCTCAACTTTTCTACAAAAAAATTTTAAAAACACTGCTTTAAATAGACGCACTTACGTAAAAGATAAAAACTCTAGAATTTCAAGTACTACAAGTTTTTTTTACTGAACGCACATTAACTTGCAAAATAAACACAAAGCTAATGAAATTGTTTCAAACTTAACGACATTAAAGTGGTTTGATGGCCCTGCCGAGCATCGTAGGCAAATTAAAGTGTCGGCAATTGTTGCAGGGCCACAACGTGGAAGCCACAAAAGTGGGCAGCTTGGCAGTGAAGAAAGCGACACGTTCGGTTCAGCTGGGTTCAGAGAGCAGAAAAATTTCACTTTTGCGGAAAACTCATAACAAACTGCAGTGCGTTTTCCAGCCGTTTTCTGTTACCAGCGTAGATTTCCTATTGTCAAATGTGACAATTTGTCGGCTTATCCGGCGATTGCTCGTCGTACGCTAAGTTGGTTTGGTTTTTCGTATCTTCATCTCACACACTTGCTACCATACTTGGCCCAAAGTGCAGCCAACGGAGCGAAACGGCTGGTTGGAGTTAACAACCTTTAAGTTTGCTTAATTTTTCATCTTTTCGATCTGCTGCTTGTGCTCTGACTTGCGTGGATAAACTTTGGACCGTCGAAACCAATCGAGAATTAGCCGCATTTAATTGCCAGCGCGGGAATACCGTTAGGAAAAACTATTTAAAATATTAAATTAGCAAATAATGTAAGGCTTTTTTGTTCTGTTTCGACTTTACGCCTATTGAAGTCGCGGCAGACTCTAAGAAGTTTCTGTTTCTGTTTCTGCCTTGGCATGGGCATAAATTTGTTCTGGTCTGTTGCCAAAAAATAAAAATGGTAGAAAAAACACCAAAGTCAGACGGAGAGGCAGCCAAGCAATTAAAATGAAACTAATTTTAGTGCCTGGGCTACTACTACACAGCCTTCTGCCTTTCGGCTTAGCCTAACCTTTCAGTAAACACCGAGGGAAAACTGCTCCCGCACTCTTTCCTGCGGCTAATTTGCATCTTTTGCAACTTTGTGACATTTGCAATGGCATTTGCCGGCTTTGTAAAAGTTGGCCAGCAGATCTGCCCACAAAAAAAAAAGAAGAAAAAAAGAAAAGAGCAGCGCCGAATCAGAGCAAAGCGAGGCAGGCAAGAATTACCTGGTAAGGTGATCCGAACACACAGACGTATGTAGGCATTCATATTGCACATGCTCTGGCAGCACAGGTATGTGTTTCTGCTCTAGTTCACACTCAGGTTGGAAAAAAGGAAAAAAAAAAAGAGAAGCAACTTCTGCACAATTGCGTGCCGAACAATTTCCAAATTTCATAAATACAAAATGCACTCGCCCGCAACTGACAGCAGTTTTCTGCCTCCAAAGTTGGGTTTACACTACTCCCCCGAAAGGGAGTTCGTCGTCGTGCATTTTCCTATTAATAGTGAGCTGCGGGCGGCGCGATTCATCCATCTCATCTCCCCTTACTCCCCGTCGTTAGTTTATTTCGGTACTATGAACGCCGACAGACCCAAGACACAGCAAATTCCAACACCTGTCCATGAGCAGCTGGCGGGAGAACTACAATCACAATGTGCTGAAAATGTAATTTTCCTCAGCATAGCAAATGAGGCAAAACCGACGGGAGATCTAGAGAACCCAAAGGTAACTAAGCTGGAATTCAACGGGAAGAAAAAATCATTCTTGACATGAATTTATTAAAAGGTTTTCAAGCCAAAGATTTTAAATATAATACATTTTATTCAAAATTTACATTTATTACTTTATAATAATTTGTATGTATTTTTAAGTTTACAATGTGATTTTTATATACTACCTTCCTTAAACAAATGTGTCAAGTTGATATGTTTAAATCATAAATTTGACATTAATCATATCTGATTTTTATTGATATGAAATAAGGTAGAAATGACCCTACTTCATATCGATTTTTTCTCTGTAAAGGAATACCAAATGTTAAAGTTCATATTCTTCCGTGGGTATTAAAAATAGAATGTAAGGCTGAGGAGAGCGGAAAATAGTGAATGGAGAGGTAGAAGCAAAGCAAAGTGAAGTGGATCGGAACTGGGAGGGAACTTAATGTATTACCTGCTTAAAATTCGTGCCATTAAGTCACTAATCATGACCAGCTGTCAGAAGTCCGTCCGAAGGCATCCCATGCCATCATATCATATCCCGGAAGCCCATCCATTCCCATCGATCCCCTCCCAAGAGGCTTAGCCGGCGATAAAGATTTCCCCCACTCCAAGAAACCGTAGCACCCGGCGTTAATTTACGCTTGTTAAATGAAATTGCCTGGCTTGACGTTATATAAGCGGAATAAACATTTTGTATGAAAGTAAGTTGCCTCAAATGGCGTCATGAGTGCCATAAATTATTGATATCGCCCAATGGACAGGACAGATAGCAATGAAATCAATTAATGATAAAACAAAAAAATGAACAAAAAGTTTGCGGAGTAAAGTTTCGTCTTTCGCCACGAGCTTTAGATAAGTGCGAAAAATGTGGAGAATTTTTTTGTATGTGACTCTGTTAGATACGATTTTTCAATTTTATTTCTTTCCATTAAATTAATTAGAAGATAATTAAGAAACAAAACAATTTCAGCATATATACTTTTGAAAATGTATGTTATTAGTGAGCAGGAAACATTTCTTTTGCATCAATTTATTGCTTTATATCAAAACTTAATTGCTCTGCCTGGGCTTTTGTGTGTTTGCTCTGACCTTGGCTGATGATATTTGTTTATCATTATTTGCTAGGGGCTTTTGTTTACACACGAGAGAATTTCCGACCAATTCTGGGGGTTCTTGACACACTGACAAACAATTGAGACACTTCGAGTCGGTTCATATTGTCGGAACAGTTTCAGCAAAACAAAAAAAAATCATTTCATTTTCATGCTTTTCTGTTATATGAGCGCTTTCGTTTATGGTTTCCCAAAATATTCAAAAGTTCCAAGAAGCCCAAAACGGAACTCTCAGTCAAAAAGAGTTCGTGTTTAAAATTACATTGAATTTCCGCAGAAAGTACAGAACAAACAGGTTGGGAACTCACCTTCATGTCATTGATAATCTGCTGGAAGAGACTACCCAGCGCGGAGCTATCGCGTTCCAGACTTAGATCCATGTTTTCTTAGTATTTTAGCTGGCTTGGTAGAGATATCGATTGCTTTTCGTTCGTCGTTCAACTGTTCGATTTCAGTTTATTTGGATTTGGATGATTTTTGTTTTTGATTATTTATTTTGTTCCATTTTGATTGGAAAAAACAAGCAAATTCAGTATTTCCTTGCGTTCAAGTTGTGTGGGGAGATCTGAAAAGAAGAAGAGGAGATATTAAAAAACAATCACTTATAAATAAACATGCTCTACAAGAAGATCTACAAGCACTTCCGATCGAAATCTCTGTCTCATCCACCCTCATAAATCTTTGAAATTCTTCGCTGATGGGGCTAAACCAGACGACTTCTCGTAAATAATCACAAATGTAAACCAGCGCTCCTTTCCAAACAAGAAATTATGCTTAATTAGGCTTATTAATATACGACATAGCGATGGAGAGTGGAGAGTGTGGGGGAGTTCCCCGATGGCGTAGGCGCAATATAAAACTTTATTTGGGGATCGTTGACCCAAATTGAGTGTGTAAAGTGCGTGAGTGTGTGTATGTTGGGCTCCTGCTGATATGAGAGTCTTTTGATTTATTGGTCATGTAGCGCGGCTAATTGTTAATTATTAATTGATATTGATAATTGATAGGTCTTGGGGCGACGCACAGGAAGTTGCATACTCGATTTACGGGCCTTGCAACTGAAACTCCGGACCTGAGGCCCATGCAAACGACGCCAAACGTCGGGGAAGTGCAATAGTTTTGACCCATTTGTGGGTTCGCCATACGTGACTAATTCTATGCCGGTTTCCGTGGCTTTCGAAAGTGCAGATAAACCGAGAAAATCATAAACGCGACTCTGGTCGCCAAGAAGCCTTGGTAGCAATTAGAGAGGCGTCAAATTTACAGGTACACTCGAGCGATATAACCTTCGACCAAAAGCAGTCCCTTTTTTTCCAAAGCTCGGCTCGAATCTCAAGACTTCAAGTGCTGTCGTATCTCTTTACTTCTTTGCTTTTTTCGGGCTGATTATGACATTGACGGCAACTCCGAGTGAAGTTCTTGGCTACAAATATACACAAGTGTTCGTTTGTCAGTATCTGAAGCTCCGCTGCATTCAGAAAGCGTTCACAATAGACACTCAAGCGTGGAGGAAGCAAAAGCCCACAAGTGATAAACAGCCTCGCCAACGAGAGCTGATTGCCTAGACTGCGTATCTTTCGTCTATGTCTGCGTGAGGACGCAGAAGAAAGCATCAAAGAACAAGTTGGGGAAAACGAAGAAAAGCCAAGGAGGCTTTTTCCGACTATGAGATTACTAGTAGTAAAATGTTGAAAAGTTCTGGAGATTATCTATTGTAAGGAAACCCCGAGTTCAACTGTACTCCGTGTCATACAGTCTCTTTTTCAAAGCATTTCCATTCTGAAAGGTAAAATTTTTGGTATGGGATCATTACAAGAGTGTAAGGTTTTGGATAGGATATCATGAGCAATGAAATAAAGTTAAAATCACTCTAATTAAGTGTTTCAATCAAGAGATATTATCTATTCATAACTTTCTTAAAAGTTACATCGTAATCTTCCCGAAGAATTCTTCTTTTTGAGTTCTTGGCCTTGGCATGTGGAATACCCTTCGAGTACAGGGTATCAAGGCGGGCACAACAAACTCGCGGGGAAAAGACAGACGCACATTCATACACATACACACATCATGGAAGTACAAGTAGACTTTTCTGCTGTCTCGCTTTTTGTTCGCTCTCTTCTTTTTAGCTGAATAGTGTAAATGACCTCTCGAGATAAAATTGTGGCCACAAAGCAAACGATGACAGGCCCGCTTTGTTGTCGCTGTTGTTGCTGTTGTGTTTGTTGTTGGTGTTGCTGCAGAGTTGCAATTTCCTTTGCAGTGCGGAAATAAGTTTTTGTTGTTTTTGGCAATTGACTGCGTTAAATCTGGTTTAAGAGGCATATAGTCGGGGGGCACACATATATACGAAACATTGACCCAGTTAACTGGCTGCATTTAAATCATAAGCCTCAAACTGGTTGGACAAGTAGTATATGTTTCGTATTATATCTATGAGCCTTACCCATATTACTTCTACAGCGGAAATAAGAGTTTTTCCCAACATAAAGATGAACTCGCGATAGTTGGCTTGGGAAATTCGTGTAGAGAGCATGGGCCAGAAAAGCAACCTAAGGTCAGGGGGCCTCTGCAGATCGTGATGCGATCGGGGGAACTATGTTTTTCGGCAGTAGCCAAAGTCCAAATTACCAAATCGTGCAATAAAAACAAAAGCAGGAAAACAACAATTTCGCAAAGTAGCCCCAGAAGAAGAGCAAAAACCTTTTTCCCGGCCAGAAATGTACCTATACATACATTTACAATGTGGGAACTGGGGGATCTTAACTTCTTTCGAAGGCGACCCGCATCAAAACTCGCTCAAATGTCAAGTTGGCGATGATGATGATAATGATAATGATAATGGTATGGTGTTATTCCTGTTGTGTCTGATGATTGTGCTGGATGCGTTTTAATTTCAACTACGCATAATTTTCCGCCCTATTTACTGCCGTTCTCTTTGCGGCTGTGTATCTGCGGTTTCACAGAGATTTCTGTTGAAACAAACGGAAGCTGCGTTGTGTGGGATGGGTAGGAAATTGCAGGGCACAAACAAGGGGAATCCTAAATGAACAGAAGGGTTCAAAATAGTAGGGCAGGCTTTTACTAAGCTAACTAACTAAATGTCAAGCTTGTAAGAAGTTTATACCAAAGAAATCCTCAAACTATAGATCCACTTTATAAGAAAGAACACAGCAAATATTATATTTTGGAAAATTACTTTTTGTTAAAACTGATTTATAACTTTTTAAGCTACCTAACTAAATGTCAAGCTTCTAAAAAGTTTATACCAAATTATAGATCCCCTTTATAAGGAAGAACACGTCTACATTTATTAAGTTTTGAAGAATTTTTTTTTGTCATTATTTATTTATAACATATGTACATATAATCATATAATTGGTAAAAAAAGTTAATGTCCTATTCTATTGCCTTGACCGCATCTGTATCTGTGTGTACATCTCCCGTACTGTGTTGCATGTTGCCTGTGTTTCTATTGCAGGAAGTGACTTGACTGACGGAAGGCAGGAAAGCGGGAGAGGGGCAAGTGTGGCAGCAGACACTTTCGTCAAGGGCGACAGGCAGACAGAGTTGCTGCCGTTAATTGCTTACCAAAAGATGTGAGCACACGCACCGCCATATCTGTCCCATTTGCCTGCCCCTTTGTTCATTGCGTTGTTATGCGTAAATGCAGATGAACGTCGCTAGGGTGGACCAACAACGTGTCGGGGCAATAACTCTGGGGACTAAGCCAGAGCTTGGGTGTACTTATGAGTTTTATGAGCGAAGCCAACGCATAATGACTAACTGCAATACTTGGGCACATTTCTTTGCCGCAACTTCCTCTGGTCGTCTAAAAATACTTACTGATAAGTAAAACACAAAGAAAGCTTGAAGCAATAAACGATACAAATAATATTCAGAAATGTTTTTGGCATTTCCAAGCCGATAAAATGTTTTACAAATCTGTAAAGAGCAATACATTCTTTTTAAAAAAAAAACTGCGGAAATCTCAAACTCTTTATCTTAAAAAAATGTCCGTTCAGTTTTTGAATATATAAAATTATTAAAAGTTTAAAAGAGTTAGGGTTGATATAATAAATTTTTCTTGAAAAAAACAGATTTTATATTGTAAATTTAGGATAATCCAAAACTACATCTGTTCTCCTTAAGAAAACATAATCGTAACTCTTGTATAGAATTCAGTGAAAGCGTCAACGAACTGAAAATAGATCCGAAAGTTCTAATTTCCAGCCCAATACTATAATGCACTGCTGGAGACTTTCATATCATCCACTCCACAATAATGTTCTGTTTTTCTTGGATTTTGTTTTGTCCCATAAGTTCTGAATGGGATTTGGTTAAACAAATAATTTTACAGCTGCACTGGAGATTTGTAAACTTGGGAAAATAGAGAGCGAGTGCGGGCGAAGATCTCCAATGTCAGGTTGGCTTTAGGCAGATTTATGTGGCCAGTTGCAAGGTAAACGATACGTTGTTGCTGGCGAATTGTGCATCAGCAGCGGACCGTCATGACTTTACACTTTCACCAACAACAACTACGAGTGAGTATCAACAACTTGAACACAACTATGGGCCATCTGTGGTCAGCCAAGTGTCGAGATGTCTCGGCCCTTGGTCTGATCTTGGTCTTGGGGTCTGGGATCTTGAGACTATGGCTCTATGGGGTCTGGTCTTTATGATCCCGAGTTAGGAAAGCGTCGATCATCAAATGCGTCGAGTGGTTCGCTGTTCGCTGCTCGCTGGTCGATGAAAAGAAAAGCGAAAAGAACCCATAAAACGATAATGATAATCAAAAGATCAAGTTTTTTATATGAACGAAATCGACAACGTCACCAGCACAAACTCACACATGTGCTCAAACATTCATGTTTATCTATGGTTTTCTATCTTTAGCGTCATCTGTGCTTTGCATTGCATTTTCTATTTGATGTTTCTGGGATTTGTGAGGGCATCTGCTCTAGCTCTCTCCCCCCAAACGCCGAAAGCCTGCCGCCCACCTCCCCCTGCCACACCCACCGAGGCGTATGGCACGTCATTAACCCAAATTTTCTATGAATAAAATATAGCAAAAAGGAAAACACTCAGTGTTTATGTTTGCGAGCATGCGTTGGGAAATCTCTCTTTTTGTTCCGTTTATGTGGCTGCTTTGATTTCAATTTAATTGAATAATTCGCCGCCGGGCATTCGACACATTGTAAAATAGGCCAATTGATCGATAATTGAAGCTGATAGGCATCCCCAGTTTGATAAGTTGCGTTATCTAATCAGCAATGTGCATAAAGTTAGCAATGCAACTTTTGAAAATGCAAATTTTTTTCTATCGACAATTTGCCGTTATTTATCCGTAAATTATTCGTGAAAGAAAAAAATTTGCCGCTCAATTATTTTTAAAATTATGAGATGTTCTGCTAAGTTGATATCAACTTAGCAGAACACCCCCACTAAAGTGCAAAATTTCCCAAATCTTTTTTAATGGGAATTTGCGGTTATTTATCCGTAAATAATTCGCGAAAGAAAAAATTTTGTTGCTCTTGTTTTAACATTTTTTTTTTTTAAAAACATAGT